TCTGTGGTGTTAATTTAAATGCGATACCTCAAACAACTTAGACGAAAATAAATATCAAGTTTAGGTCATAATTGCATGCAGATACATGTTTGGACATTTCTTCGAAACTCACGTTGAATAACAATAATCACATCTGAAGACGGCACTTACCTACGCTATACATAGATCATTCTTAAAAAAAAGTATAACATATCTACCATAAATAGCTCCGGCTGCAGCGTGCTTCAAATCTGGCACAAACGATAATCGTCAAAAACCCGTCGTCCTTCCTCGCCCCTTCGGGGATTTATTTCTTTAAACCTAAGCATGCCAGAACATTGAAATAAACGACATTGTCTTTCGTAAGTAACGCAGCACCGCGTGTAAAAGTTCGAGAAAAAAAAATTACGAATGTACCCCACTACTTGAAATCAAATGAAACCGTCCGCCGGTCTTTCGAAGTTCGACGAACGTCGAACTTTTACCCTAAAAGTTCGAAGTTCGTCGAACTTCTGACTTTTCAGAATCCGAAAGTTCGAAACTTTTCGAATTCTCTTGATAAATAAGCTCGAAAGTTCGAAATTCATCGAAATTTTTGGTCAGTCAAGTTCGAAAGTTCGACAAGCATCGAACCTTGCAGCGCAATAAGTTCGAAAGTTCGAAAAAGATCAAATTTTTTAGCGTAATAAGTTCGACGGCTCGGAAAGCGTCGAACTTCTTAGCTTAACAAGTTCGAAAATTCGACCTCCGTCGAATTTTACGATATAGACAATTCGAAAAATCGAAATCTTTCGAACCTTTCGAACCGCTTGATTCGATCATCGAAACTTCGATTCGAAAAAAGTTCGCGGCATCCCTACTCTCGACGGCTCGTCGCGTGCGCCAATGGTGGCGTTGGCGGTACGGCCGGGGGTTCGCAGAAGGGTTTCAGGGGTGCAAACGTGCCCTCCCGATAGCCTGCGCTGCTGACGTCGATTACAATGCCTGTTTTGGCAAGGAAGTCTCTGCCCAAAATAATGGGCACCGATAGGCCAGGGAGATGAACGAAGCGTTGTCGTCTTACTCGATTCACCCATCTCGCGACCAGCCGCGCGGTACCAGCCGAGAGGGCGGTTCCGCAGGCTAGGCGAAAGGCAGTGTTGCATTCTCGGAGTCGGACAGAATTCTGTCGGAGGTGAGTCAACACTTCATCGCCGAACATCGAAGCGCTTGCTCCGGTGTCGAGGAGTGCCTTGAATGCCTTGCCGGCGATCGTTACAGAAATGAACGGGGCCGGCGTGCCGGTCGGGAAGCCTATTCTGTAGGCGGTCGGCAAAAGAGTGGCCATGGGACCCTCTGATTCTTTGTTAGCCACCGGTCCGTCCGTCCAAGGGCCGTTTACCGGTGGCTTTGCTCGTTTCCCGCGCGGTGCGATTCCGTGTTCGGCGAGCGAGTTGCTCAGCACGCGTCTTCACCTTGCTTAGTACCACATCTGGAACAGGTGGAACAGGTGGAACGCGTGCTGAGCAACTTTGTAAGCAGCTTGGTTTAGAAAGGCTCAGCAAGTCTGTCCAGGCGGCTCGTGGTCTCAATCTGGAGGTTTTCTTCTCAGTGAAGACCCATAAGGACACTATGCCGTTCAGGGCAATTGTTACACAGAGAGAGTCATGGCAGCTGCATGTCTCGAAGTATCTCCAGCATCACCTATCTTCTTTGAAGTTAACTGATCCTTTTCTAGTTCGAAACTCTGACGAATTGGTAGATTATCTAAGCAATGACAACCCTGGATCTTGTGATCTGGTTTCAATTGACGTGGAAGACCTTTTCTACTCTATTCCTCATGGAGGTCTCATTGAAGCGGTTCAACTTTGCATTGACTTAAACGGTTCTGTTGCCTTCCAGAATTCGACTGGTATTGCTGTGGAAAAGTTTTTGGATCTTCTCCGCTTTTACTTAGAGTCCACTTTTATTTCTTTTGAGGGCAACACGTTTCTGCAAAAATCCGGGATCTGCATTGGGTCTAGTGTTGCTCCTATATTGAGTGACATCTACCTAGCAGGTTGTGATTGTGCTATTGCAGAAAGGTTAGATGATCGTTTTTTGAAAGTCTTCAGGTATGTTGACGATTACCTGGTGGTGTTTAAACCTAAGCAGGGCTCACGAAGTGCTGACTTGGTCTCAGAGTTATTAGACACCTTTCGGGAGTGCTCTGGAGGTCTGCGGTTTACGAATGAGGTTCCAACTAAAAAAGCTTTGCAATTTTTGGACCTCAACATTCGTCTTGAAACGAGTCACCTATGCTGGGCTTATGAGCCTAGAACAAAAAAGTCCCTCCTTAGCTATGAATCAACGCACTCAAAAGTTGTAAAAAGAGCTATTGCAAAATCATGTTTGAGAGCTTCTTTATTGAAATCCTGTGTTCACAGAAGTTTCAACAGCTTTCTGTGTCAAGTAGATAGGTTAACAAAAGCGGGTTTCCCGAAACTTGTCATAGTGGGGGTAGCGGAGTCACTTTTAAAATTATTCAGGAATCCCCTTAACATACTTGACAATGTTAGACAAAAGCCTGCCTCTCGACCGGTGGTAATACCATATTTGCACAGTTTTTCCCACAGGATCAAAAAAGTGGCGGTTAAATACGGAGTTCCCATAGTCTTTTCAGCACCTTCCAAGCTATCCCGTTTGTGTGCGTCCATTGAGAGAGCAGGACTTCAGCGTGTAGGGTGTGGAATAAACCATCGCATCAAATATGTAGCTTGTGCTGTGGGGGTCGTTTATAAAATACCCTTTTCATGTGGGAAAGTGTATATTGGGCAGACGGGCAGATGTATTAATGTTCGAGCTCGGGAGCATTATCTGTCTTTGAGGTCTTCACCTTCGGGTCACCTAGCCATTCATTGTGATAGGTGTGGTTGTTCCCCTCGGTTAAGTGACATTGAAATTTTGGCTAAACATTCACAAAAAATGGCAAGGGAAATTCATGAAGCGTTTTACAGTCGACAACACGGTCCCGATCTATGCGTCAGTTCAGAGTCAGTGACGTTATACAGTGAAGAGTTCGAGTTTCTTCGGAGTTTAGGCACGTCTCTTTAACACTTTCTTTCTGCTTCCATGGGAGTGATCCTATAGACCGACACGCGGAGCAGCTCTGTTTACCAACACGGCCGGAAGGCCGCGCATGCGCGGTAGCTATGTGGGCAAAAGCGACCCGGCTGTGCGTGTTTTCGCCATTGCGTTCTATGGCGTGCGCTCGTTGTTGACGTTGTAGGGACGCTTCTAGCTTTATATGTGGGTCGTGTTTCCTGGCAACGTATGTCGTATGCTGTGCCCGACTATTTGAGCTCGCTACCCGAGCCTGAACGGCGGCGGTATCGAGACAAACTGTGCGTGGACAGCGTTGCCTACGAGGATCCGTACGCCGTAAAAAAGACCTGCCGGGCTTCCGACGTGAACTTGCTGTCACCGAAGTCGACGGCTCACGTCGTCGTTTACTTAGTTTTTTCGCCCAGCCAGTTCACGGCCGACACGAAGCAGGCGTACAAGTCTCTCGAGGCCTACGATTACGTCGATTCGGTTTCCGCACTGCCGGCGGGATCAGCAGACTCTGGGTCTGCGGAAGTGCTTTATTAATGAAATAAGTACACACAGCGTCTTCAAGTAAAAGTATGCTATTCTTCTTACTCTCATGACCACAAGGCATGACAACCAGTAAAGGTTGTCCGTTCTGCAGTCTTGGCGGTAATACGTTACAAGTAACGGTGTAACCAGGAACGCGTTACTTTTCAGTAACGTAGTAAACTACTCGCTCCTTGTTCGACGGAGTAACAGGTAACGTACTTACGTTACTATTTCAAGTAGCGTAGCTTCGTTACCTCGTTACTACAATTACACTTCAATTTTTTCCGTGTTTTTAGGCGTCAAGCTCTTTTTCTTTCCGTTTTTTCTCATGACTATTTAGCTGAAACCGTAAAAAGAGGTAAAGTAAGTATGTTCAGTTTCTGCATGAACATAATGTTTCTTGATATATGAGCACACCTTTATCGTCAAAACCGTAAAACGTGTTAAATCATAATTTAAAAAGTAACGCAGAAGTAACGTGCGTTACTTTTTATCGGTAGCGGTAACGCGTTCCTTTTATTTTTAGGCAACTTAGCTCAGTAACGCGTACCTTTGATTTGCAAGTAACGAGTAACGTATTTCGTTACTTTTTTTCGGTAACGCCTGCAACATTGCCGTTCTGCCGCCGATCCCCTTCTGCTTGGTAGCACAGGCGTAGCGAGCCTCCGACGGGCGCTTGGCCGGTGCTTTCTGCGCAAACACTGTGGCAACAAAATCCGGGTGGTCTCGATCAGACGACGGTTTCCCTGCACATAAGCAAGCCTCGGGACGGAGATTGAAATGGAAGCCGCACTTGCCTCCAAGAAAGTGCTTGCCGCACAAACGGTCGTTCGCGCGAGGAGACCATAATTTTCGATCCACGGATATTATCCACCTTCTATGCCTTTCAGAGTCTGCCGGGAACTTCTGGAAACTCATTCCGCGACTTTTCTTGCACATTTGGGTGCAATTAACGGCAGCACAGCTTTGCGGCATGCTGAAATGCCATGACGCCCATGCGAAACGTGCGCTCTTTTGCCCACACCCCCCGACTCCGGCGCGATCGCGTGCCTACATGCAGCCAGGAAAGGGTTCCGACATACCAAGAGTCCGCGTGCAAGACAGGTACGCACAGAGCATTAGGGCTCGCGCTGTGGTTTTTGGCTTTTTTTAATTTGTTTTTTTGTGTTGTAATGGTATATAATGTTTAGTTTGTGTAAAAAAAATTCCTCAGATGGCATATGACAGAGAGGATATCCTACATGCTGGATTCTCCTTCTTTTATTTTTCATTTCTTTTTTTTCTTATGTTGAAATGTTTTAAAAAGATGAGAAAGAAAGTAAGTCGTGAGTCAGCGCTGTGTCTGTGTCCCTCCTTCTACTTGTCCTTGTGTTTGTTTGCGCTGTTTTATTTCTATGTTTACAATGCATCACCGACTAGCCCACCTCCAAACATTACTCTAGTGCTCTTGCGATGAGCATTAGCGAAGGCGCTATCGACGACGCGCTACTTTAAATGCCCAAGACAATCCAATCCCATCCAATCCCAAACCTTCTTGTTTTTTCTTCCTTTAGTTGTTGCTTGGTTTGCTTGCTGCTCCGTATCCTTGCTTCCATGTGATAGCTGCTTGAAGACCCAACTCTGTCGGTAACGGATGCGTGCCTTGTCTCTTTGTTGCTGCTCGCGTTATTGATACGACCTTGCTGCCTGATAGTGAACGCGGTACGGGCGCTGCCGCCGAGGGATGCGTGACGTCTTCGGCTACGTTCGCGACGTCCACCACGCCAGGCGAGTCGGATAAGTCTCGGCGTAGCAGTCTGCACTGCTGCAACACTCAAGCGATCCGGCCACTGTCTGTTGTTTTCACGACCTAATTGGTCACTATCTTAAGTGATTATCTCTTGTGTCCCGAAGTGGGCTGCACGTTGCGTTCGCGTGCCAAACGCGTGTTTTTAACGGCTTTTTCTGTGTGCGCAGAAATTCCAAATCGAAGAACGATGTTAAGCACATTAGAAAGGAAGGATACAGAACGAGCGGGATCCGAGAAAAATCAACGCAACCCAAAAGCTGACGTGCAGGGAGACATGATGTCAGGTATGTACTGTTTGTTTACTGGGAAGTAGTCCTCTTGCCCGTCCATGGCATGTCTTGCTCTGGAGCTTTAATCGTCGGTGATCAACTCAGCAGGCTTCTACTCCGGGTATGTCATGACTTTACTCACATCTTGCTTCGTCTTCGATGTTTTGCCTTTTCAGTGCATCGCTTGCACTGTCGTTCTTTAATCCCCTGACGGCTTTTTCTGCTGACAGCACATTTTCTAGCATTATTATGTCCCATCAGAAAACGTGCTCGCTTTGCATTGTTTTTGCAAGCCTCGCAGAGTTTCGCTGGGAACCAGCACAAATCTGGAAGCCTGCTGACATGATTGAGCCGGCAGACAGTCGTGAATTTCGAGGGCGTTTTCAGTGTCTCTATTTGGCAAGGGCTGAAGCTATCTAGGGAACACACCACCCTCTTTATGTTTTGCAGGAGAACTTCAGGCTGCTGATATCGTCGAGATTCTGAAGAAGCGGCTGGCTTTCATGGCGGGTAAGTCTTTTCTCCTTTTAAATGGAGCTTAATTACCAGAATGCAGATCCCCCAGCCAGGCACGTAGCTAGGATTTTGTTTCAGAGGGGGTCCGCCCATGACAAAATGCTGTATGAGGGGGAGAGGAGGTCCCACCAAAATGGAAGATTTTTGGGGGAGGCGAGTCCACAGTATACAATGCAGGCTCTATGAATGTTCTTTTTTGTAAACATTTCTTCACATTCACACAGTATCACGAAGAAGGAGTTGTCATGCTCAATAGTCGTCACCGTCCTGATAGATGCGTTGTTACGCCTTAGCGCACATACAACTTCCTCAATTAACAGGCGGCGAAGACAAGAAAGGCAACGCGCTCATCTCTGTTCCTCCACCCTGCGACGACTTTATGCTTCAGGACTTCAAGGACACGCTGACTTACCTGATGACCCTCACCCAGTAAGCCGACCCACCATTGTTCACTTCTTTGCTAGACCCTTGAATACTCTGCAACGCGGTTGGCACAGGCAGAACATGGGCACTTTTTTGCCTTTTAATTTGAAAGGGTACCTGAATTTTCCCCAAATGAGTGCTTTCTGCCACACTAGTAGTTTCTGTGAAAGACCCTTGAATCTAAGGAAAGAGAAAAAGAAATGGCTATCACTGGTTTGTGTGAACAGTGTCGCGACATGTACCTGTGTTTAATTGCTCTTGTATCTTGTCAGAGTTGTCAAAAAGAGTGACAGCAGCGCTGTCACTCTTTTTGATTGCTATTCACAACTTGAATGATCTGCATTTTGATCTCTGATTAACATATTAACATCTGGACTGCATCATAATAATGTTTCGTGTATGTTTATACAGCCGGAAGTTAGTCTGCCTCAATGGGCGACTTGTCTCTCAGCTGTAGATGAGCAATTCAGCCAGTGCAGTTCAACCTCTAGCTTGGGTCCGCTAGTCATTAAAAGGACACTGACAGGGTATTTATGCTCGCAAAGGTTCTTGTTTGTACAAAACATATGAGAGCCCAACTACCCAGAAAACTGTTCACGGCTCAAAATTAATTTTCTGCCGGAAAACTGCCGATCCAGAACTGGCCGGTTTGAGTCGCGCTCACTCTCTTCTTCGTGGTCACGTGCCGTTTTCTATGGTTAAGACACAACCACCAATTATAATCAAAGTCGTGGGTCATCGAAGGCTCACACACAATATTAAAAGTAGAAGAGAAATATGATACCCATCTCTTGTGGCTTCTAGAAAGCTGCAAATACGTCGATAGGAAGTAAAAAAAAAGCTGCACAGCCATGTGACTTTTGCCAACTCTCTCCTCCTCTATATTTCTTCTTCCTCCCCAGTCCAGTTTTGGTTTCGAGCATTTGCGTTTTTTGACTTTATTAAAAATATACGTGACGCTGTAGCCAAATATTGATTGGGTAGTCTTCTGACACCATAATAAAGTGCCTGGCAAAATATAAAAAATAAATTGTGGGGGTGTCGATGTCTCTTTCATGTGCACCACGCTGTAGTGATACACGACTGCACGCCGGTATGATGGTCATCCAGATAGACACGGGCAGGGGGTGGAGATTGAACCCAGGATCCGCGGGTTCTGCGGTGTAAGCTTTAGGTCCTCGTGCTCTGAGCTGGTGTGCACCAGCCCACTCGGCCACTGATCCCCCCTGCAAGGCTGCATTGGTTCGAGCTATGCATTACAATAAATGCATGCCTCTTATTTTCCCGAGTCTCATGTTTCTCGCCCTGCGCTGCTATTTCACTTAGTGTTTTGAACGTCTTTGTACCCTTGGGCTTTTGGGCCATCATCATATTTGGTATGACTCATTCTGCCGATAATGGGGTTTCAGGTTGCTGGAATTTGTCTTTTATTGAATTTTAACAGTCTTTCTTTTTTCACTCATTTCTTACGACAAATCTAGGTAATAGGAGATTGTGACTTCGCTAAAATTCAAAGCTTAATATTTGTAGAGAAGAAAGCATATTTTTTGTAATTGTATGCACAACACACAGGAAAATTATTCTAATTGAGATTTCCACAGCTTATCGCAGTGTCAACACATCTGTTTGCTTGGGTAGCCTTCGGACTACCAAATTAAGCTCAAAACGTTTGCACTTTGTTTTTTTAAAATATTTATTAGGCTACCCAGGGTAGCTAATTGGGTACTTTTCAGACAAACTTGAGCTGACGCAAACTTTACTGCAGGCACCTTTCATTATTTTTTTAATTACTTGGAACCCGGCATATGTATGACCAAGGCCAGTTGAGTTGATTGGGTTCAAATCTTATTACGAGCATCGATAGCATTCGGCTAGTTTTTGTAATCTGTCTTGGCTACCGAAATAATGATGCACTGAACATGCTTGCTTCGTGTGTTTCAGTGATGATGATCGGGGTGTAACGGTCGTTATCCAGGGTGACAGTTCCTGGGGAGATAGGCTGAAGCCGATAATGGGCATTAATCAGGTTTGTGTTCCAGCTTTTTATTTGTTTTTTATGGAAGATCAACCACTTGTCCGACAGTGGTGCCAAGGACTGTTTTTGTGTCAGGGACCACCAGAATCATAAATTAGGTTGTATATAGGACTTTTTTGATGAATTTATAATTTGCAGGTATTTCTTCCGTTCCTGGGTTGGGAATAGATTTTATTTGTTGCTGGTGGAACCTATACAATGACCAATCTATTTCTCAGACAGGATATCTAAATTTTTTTTGTATACTCTGGTATGCAGCTTCATATTTCTTTCGTACAAATACTGTCCCACTAGTTACCTACTGCCTTCGGGAGCATTAGAGTATACAAACATTTTTTTTACATACAGACTTGTGGCCATAGATTTTTTAATGATCAGTTTCCGGTTTAAAAGATTTTGCTGTTTTGCACGGGATACTCTCTGAAGTTTTGTCTCAGAGAAGCGAGACTTCCATCATTTCCTTCTCTTCCCCATTTCCCACTCGTGGAACCAAACTGCCTCGGTTAATGCGCTTCTTTGATGCATGACTGACGTCACTGTCCCAATATTAAGGTGTGTTTTTCTGGGGCTGTTTACCCTTTTCAAGTTGTAATTAAATTAGCCATTTCTGCTGAATGTGCGTTCCCACTTATTTCATTCCATTTATTCTAGGAGCTATAATTCTGCACAGCAACCTTCATATACTTGTCTAATAGTAGCTCTTATACCACATAGTGTGTGTTCTCTTGCCTCTTTTAATCGAGGAAATTCTGATCGGTGGCACTTAGTGTGCATCTGAGCTCCCTCCAATGCAGAACACGCACCAGCTCTGTGCTTTGGAGCTGAATAATGATGTCAGTGTCATGCATAGCTGTTTGGTGGATCTGAATAATGATGTCAGTGCCATGCATAGCTGTTTAGGCTACACTTTCAGTGCCGTCCGGCTTTGGTTTATGAATATTCCTTTCTGATACCGACTGGTTCGGTTTTCCGATTCACAACAAGTGAACTTCTGGCCTTGAGTCTCACCCTACGGTGTTATCCACGGCTTTACTTCTTAGACCATATCACGCCGTTTTCATGGCACCTCGCCTAAAAGGGACCGTTGGCCGTCTTTGCAGTGGCACTCTCCCGGTCTTTCCGATAGTGTGTCAATGGCGGCTCCGAAGTGGCTCCTGTGTACTTCCCGACTGGAGTGCTGTTCCTTATCAGTTGTCTGTTGTTCCGTCCGTGCAGGACGTCTTGGGGCGCAGGCTTTGCTGCACGTTGGTGCTCCGTCCACACAAGTCCAAGGACTCAAAAGCGTCTCTTCGGGACAAGCAGGCATCCACGCAGGTGAGGAGGGTACTGTGCGCAACTTGTTTGCTCTTTGTTCTTGACTGAGCAATAGAAGCCGTCTGAGTGGGTAGCAGAACAAATAAAATGCATTTCAGGCTTGTTTGCTTGTGGAATCGTACAATTGTAGAAAACCATCCAAACGAGACTAAATAAAAGCTATACACCTTTCCAAAAAACACTCCTAGGCCGCCGCCATGTTGCTGATGCGACTGGTGCGACTCTCGCGCCCTCTATCAGCTAGAAATTTTCTGCCACTCTCTTGGACTGTGAGAACCCGTTCAGCGCGATTCTCTATGTTGTGCGGTTTTGCATTCAGCGTTTTCTGGCCCCTCTTGAAAGTTTCCACTTAATTTTTTTTTGTGCGAGCTGCATACACTTTCTGTGTTACATTCAATCGTGGAAATTAGGGCTGGTAAGTGCCTGCCATTCAAGCTTTTTTGCTCAACATTCACCGGAAACGAAGGTGCGGAAGACGTCGAGTGGCCCTCGACGCAATTATGCGAACAGTGACAATTGTTCTCCCCCTTCCGAGAGATAATCTGCATAAAGACCTTCTCAGTCATCTCCAAAAATAGTTGTCCAGGTTGGGGTGGGAAACGGGTCAGTCGCGTTCGTTACGTTGCCTCGGTGATATTGTGAAAAAAAGAAGCTCTCCCCAAAACGTGCCCCAAAACGAAATCACCTTGGATTCCGTCCGATCGTCAAGATGTGCCTGTCGTCGACTGTGACTGTCGTCGAATGTGACTGTCGTCGAATGTGACTGTCGTCGAATGTGACTGTCGTTGAATGTGACTGTCGTCGAATGTGACTGTCGTCGACTGTGACTGTCGTCGACTGTGACTGTCGTCGACTGTGACTGTCGTCGACTGTGACTGTCGTCGACTGTGACTGTCGTCAACTGTGACTGTCATCGACTGTGACTGTCGTCGACTGTGACTCTGTTATTTGAGATCTTTCTCAAATAAATTCTTTTCAGATAGCGCTGCATCGTGTGGTATGTACAATATATTGTTCGAAAGTTGACATTCGCTAAACTGTATGTCTGTGTCCTTTCCATCAGTAAACACGTTATCTGTGAGCGTGAAAACTGCATGCCTTTCGGCTATCTTTGTTAACCATGTTGATAAACCTGAGACTGGGGCAGAAATGAACACATAAGTGGAAGGAACAGAAAAGGACAGGACGACGCTTCACCGGCTTGCTTGCATCCTACTGTATTATCTTTATTTTCTGTTGTAATTTATTTTCGACAGCTAAGCGCTTTGTCAATTGACACGTGGCTAATCAAGCAACGCCGTCAAACCTTATTGTAAAAAATAAAATAAAATTACAACTAACATTTTAGTTGCATTCGTTCTGTCGTGCGCGTACCCAACAAAAATAGTTTGCAGGTTTTTTATTGTTTCTTTCAAATGTGGTACAATGCTTTCTTAATGTCCTCGGGAAAATACATGCACCATGAAACACGACATACAGCGGGAAAAGACGAGAATCTAGCCACCTGCAGTGTATGAAACTGTGCATGCGCAGGCTGCACCTATCGAAATCACAGTCCACTCGGTTAGGGTTAGCAGGGACGCCAATGATAGTCTAGCCTCAAACCCAGTCACTGGGCTCGAAAGCGGTTTGCAGCCCCTGGGGTCAAGGGTTTCTTGGAAAGGTTTGTACCGTATGACGTTTCTTGTCTCGCTCATATCAGTGGGAGGTTCTAACGTTTTGTACATGGCCGTTAAATACTGACTTAGAGTGACCAAGAAAAGCAAATTTTTTAGTTGGGTGATTAGTTTTCAGAATAGGCACTTTATATTTGTAAAACTTGGATGAGGAATCAGTTTTAGAGTGCAGCTCTTAGGCGCTCGTTTTAGGGTTGAGTGACGTCGCTGTCGGTGTAGCCGTGGTAAATTGAGTGGGAAAAATGATGTCATGTGAGCAACATCAATCCAATTCCCTACTGAACTTAGCGGTTAAAAGTGACATCACGTCACCTCAACACCAATCCAATTGCCCGCTAAATTTAGCGGGAAAAGTGACATTACGTATCCTCAACACCAATCCAATTCCCCGTTAAATTTAGTGGGAAAAGTGACGTAGTGACCAATGTTGCGGAGTTGCCACTCCGGAGTTTGAATGATTCCGGAATCATTCCGCATTTTCACGACCCCGGAATGGAATGAGAATGGAATGGCGGCAACGTTTAGAGGAATGGAATGGGAATGGAATTAGGTGCCTTTTGCCCGGAATGGAATGGGAATGGAATGGGTATGGTTCTTCTTCTTCTTTTTTTTTTCTTTTTTTTTTTTTTGTGTTTACGATCAGCTAAACCGAGCCAGTCAGCGAGTCAGTTGCTCAGAAATAAAATGAGCGGGAAACTGCTAGCCCGCGTGGAGCCCTAACAGACGTATACGCCAAACAAATGCAATTAAAAAAACAAGCGTCAAGGCAAATGGGGAAAGGGGGTAACGTAGCGCCTTTCACGGACGCGCAGGCGTCGGGCTTCGATGGCGTTACACGAGAGCGAAACAAGAAACCAAGCACCAAGCAAGAGGAAAGGGAGCGAAACAAGAAAGAAACCGCCATGCACAACTCCTCGTCGTCCTTCTTGTCATGTTTGTTTTTGTTGTTGCGACGGTCTGTAGAATGCACGCGTGCGCGCAGACTGAGATCTGGGAGCGGAAGCGACTCATAACTCGCAGAGCTCTGATAACTCGTTGACTCGGGCGCCGTCGAAAGATGATAGGTATTGCAGCCAACCCTGCTGCCTTCCACGTTCATGCGTGCGCACTCCTTTGAAGTGCGAAGGGTGGGTTTGCTTCAGCATTAAAACAAAGCGAGATTCACTTCCCTCTTTTCTTCTTGCGCTTTGCACCGAGGCTTGCTTTTTTATATACTGCATTTGTAGTGTAAGTCCGCCTATTACTTGGTCTTTGTTCCGATGCTTGTTTTCTGTGTTATATGTTTTAGTGGGTTGGGGTTACAAGCACGCTAGCGGATTCCTGCTCATTTCCTTTGACTCTAGTCTCTGCATACTTCGTTTCACCTTGCGATATGGATCGCTGCGGACGCTACGAGTCACCTAGGCAATCCAGCACCGTGAGCGGGACTGCAGGGTCACGCGACACTCAGAAAGCACTGGATTGGTTTCGATGGCTCTCGTGCTGTCTGTTGAAGTCCATCATAAGGTGAAGTAGACTATCGTCACCGCTCTTGGTGTGACCGAACTGACTAGACCTGCAGAGAGATCGTCCCCGCCAGACGAGGCGCGACCGTTGCTGTGAGGGCAGCTGAGAAGGAGAGCTGGGTGCTAGCTGCCACTGAGGTTTTGGCTTCCGCGCGTCTTGGCTGTCCGGTCTGCATTCGTGCTCCTTGTCCTGGACCCTATTTGAGGTGGTGAGAAGTCAGTTGGACGGTGTTGTTGAGGAAACACGGGTAATGTCAATTCGAACGGTGCGGTATTACCCCGTTAATTGTATCTTGATGTGAAGAGCTTTGTCAACGCTGATTTCCCGACCCGTCGCCACAACGCGAACGACCGACACCGAGGTAAAAGAATGAATCGGTTGGCACCGTCTGCTGCCTGAACCCGCCACTCGATCAGCGCGAAGAGGAACATCACAATTCGGACGAGAAGACAAGATAAATACAGATCGAGTCATGGCATCGTAGAAGACATTTTTCTACATTAGTCGCAAAGAAAATAAACAAGCTGCACGTTGAAAGTTGTGCAACGAAACTATACACGGTGCAGTCGGCGTATATCATCAAACTTTATTTGCCATCTGAAGAGGAAACACGAGAATGAGTATGCGAAGGGTGGAAAAGGGCAGGCGAACCAGCCAAAAATTGAATTGAATATGATAAGAAATCTCGAGATTCGTAAAGCAAGCGTGAACTTGTGCGTTTTAAAACAGGTTTCGTGACATGGTCTATACGGTCCCTTGTGCTGCGCCGCAGAGGTTGCATTTTGTCAGGATGTGTTCTTGCCGCTCTGCATGGAGTCGCTTCCAGCAGTGTACGAGCCGTGTTGCTGTATTTGAAGAATACAGTAATTTAGCTTAATCCTGCGCCACGCACGAACTGGATATTTTTATGGTCTTATCAAACAAACACGCTGGCCGCGTATGTCTTAAAAGTCAAATGCAAAAAAGTTAGAAAAAAGAAAAGAAAATGAGTGGATTTAAGTTTTGCTGTTTGTTGCGAGCCACGTGGTCGCGAGACCGATGTCTTAAACAAACATCGACTTATCAAGGGGATTTCTCGATGTTTGCAGTACATTGTAAATAAACACTTTTTGCCACCAGCGGTCCGCTTAGTAAAAATCAGTGCTTTTTTTTTTAGGAATTTAGCTATTTTTTTTTTCGACTTTCTCTGCATTTGATAATGTCAGCTTTATGCTGCTTATGCCGGCAACAAAATGTAGCTCTCAAGGGCCAAATTTTAAGTTTAGGAATTAAAGGAATGGAATGGAACGATTCAGCCATTCCAGGAGTGGGAATGGGCTCAGCGTCTCCATTCCTAGGAATTGAAAGGAATTGAATTATCGAAAACTCTAATTCCCCGGAATGGAATTGGAATAGAATGGGGGTGCCCATTCCGCAACACTGGTAGTGACCTCAACACCAATCCGATTCCCCGCTAAATTTAGCGGGGAAAAGTGACGCCACGTGACCTCAACACCAATCCAATTCCCTACTAAATTTGGCGGGGAATATGACATCACATGACTTGGTGCCACGTCACTTATGAACAAATTCATTTTCTCTGCTAGATTTAGTAGAAAAATTGACATCATGTGACCTTAACCAGAATTCAATTTCCCTCTAAATTTAGTGAGAAAATTGACGTCGCATAAGTTCAGCATCAATTCAGTTTCCCCTCTAAATTTAACAGGAAAAGGATGTCAATGACTTGGTGTCACGTCACCTATGAACAAATTCGGTCTCTCCGCTATATTTTGCGGAAAAATTAATGCCCTGTGACCTCAACAGCAATTCAATTCTCCTCTAAATTTAGCGGCAAATTTGACGTCGCAGAACCTCGACACCAATTCAGTTTCCCTACTAAATTTAGCGGGGAAAATAACGTCACATGACTTGATGTCACGTCACCTATGAATAAATTCAGTTTCTCTGCTAGATTTAGTGGGAAAATTGGCGTTGCAAGAAAAGGAGGAGGAGGAGGAAAGGAGGGGAGGACGAGGAACAGAGGAGGAGGAGGATCCTACCCTTCCCTCCTGCTCGAGAGCTGTGCTCTAATTCCGCATTACAGATATTTGTAAACGTCTTTAATATTTTGTTTATGCACATTAGCTTTTGCAAAATGGATACTATTACAGCGGAGCTGCTAAGGGCTAGGTTCCCCAGGATGGTGTCCGTGTATGTCGACACAAACCTACCTGGACAGCTACCGCCATCTATAAGCGACGGCGGCCAACACACACCCAGTATGGTTTCCGCCATCGCTCGTAGATGGCGGCAACCTTTCCAGCTACTATAATAGAATGGATAGTTTGGCGCGTTGGTGGGAATTCATCGTAGGAAGCAGGGCGAAAAACAGACGACGACGAAGAAGAAGCATACAGTGTATAGAGTACAGCTCTGCTGGTCTTCCTTCTTCACAAGAGTGGAAAGGCTAAACGTTTTTTATGAAGCTCGCATTTCTTTTTCTCGCCTGAATGGCCTCTCCCCTTAGCAAAACAAACTAGACGGAGATCATCCCTTTGCAGCAGATAATCCATTTATAGTCGGGTACAGAGGAGGTTAGATGCAGAAAGGCCATAAGCCCCACAAGTACCAATGTTGCCTGCAGTCTTCCATTAAGCGGCATTGATTTTCTCAGAAACACCAAAACATTGTCCATGACATGAAAATCAGGAGTGAAAGAGGTGATAGAAGGCTGATCAAGCCTCAGTCCACAATGATTATCTCTCAAACTAATGATGGTGGGTCCTTGCTCATATTAAACTTTTTTACACCTTTGTGCTGTGATCAAACCTGAATTTTCAGCATAACAAAGTGTGTGCACCTGTTCAGTATGGGGCCTAATGTTTAGTCAGGTATGTGGGGAAACTATTTTTACGGTTTACCTCATTGCAGTATTTTTACCTCTCTAGTACAGTGGAGTTGGGCTGAAATGTTTGTAGCCATTTTTCTTGCATATTTTTACCCCGAAAATTACGCTCCGAAATTCTGAGCCTGAACTCGTGTTAGTGTCCACACTTTGCTTTCTCTCAACTTCATATTTGGCTATGAAGTCTGGATAAATTTGACTGGACTTTTTAGTAGGCTGCTGTTTGGCACCTTACGGTTGGTTGATCTTCTTTCTTCCAAAGGAACAGTTCTTTCAAGAGCTTTGTTGCATTCGACAGTTCCAGCATTCTGTCGAAATTCAATGGAACCTTTTCAAAAGCGCTCGCCATCTGCCGTATTTACTCGATTCTAAGCACCCCTCTTTTTTTTTTCAAATCCGCTATATACTTCACGAGAGGGCAGTGGTTAGATTCGAAGTACACTAAATGTTACAAAATTTAAGCAAAGAAATATTGCTTAATTTTAAGTGAAATGAAAGGTGAAATAGAACATGGAAGGTACAACAAATATGGGAAACTGTCACTCTACTTGCCGGCACAGCGGACAGCACACCATGCGACACGCTTTACTCAATCGCTTTCACCTGATGACAAGTCCTCACTGCATCCGTCCGAGCTGCTGCTGCTTCGGTTGCTGTCTTTGTCCCACAAGAGGTCATCCCCAGAATTGTCAAGACTGTTCATTATACAAGACTTCTTGAATGACTTGTCCAAGACGTCGGCCCCAGACTCTGTTCTACCCATCCGAAATCTAGGTTGTGACGGTTAATAGGGAGGCTTTCTGCAGCCTCCCTGTCAGTCTTCTTGCGGTTGAGGCTCATACAGTGGACTCCTCTTAAACGGAACTCGAAGGGACAGAAAAATTTGTTCCGTTTATCAGAAGTTTCATTAAAGCAAAGCACATAAAATGAGTGAAATATGACTTTATTTCACAAGCATGATGTCCAGCTAATGTAGCTGACTAGAAAAAAGAGGTAATGGTAGTTTGTTTTGCATTTTGTAATCGCTTTTTGACGAAGTAGGTGTGCATGCCTTGGAGGTACAAAGGTTTCTGTTGACTGCTGCACCTTCCCCAGAAATAGTTTTAAAGACTAGGCCGTGGCGCTTTTTAAAACGGCTGAGCCAACCGTCGCTCATTTTGAAGTTATCTATTCCCAACTGAGACGCAATCTCTCCAGCCTTTTCTTCCGAGGATGGGGCCGCTGATCGGGAAATTAGCACTTCGCGCGCGCTTAAACCAGAGAAAAAGGACGTTCTCTATTTCCTCAAAAGGCGTCTTTCGCATCCTCCTTCGGTCGGTGGCAAAGCTTCCGCGCTTTACAGCGTCAAATCTTTTCTTTGTCCTTTGATATCCTTGAGAGTGTAGACTTCGGGATATCGAACTTCCTTGCGATCTCCGTCTTCGAGAGGTCACCACGATCCAGCTCTTGAAGGATCTTCATTTTCGTAGCAAGCGAGATCGCTTGGTGCGGCCGCTTTTTTACCGCTTCCATCACAACACGGCAAGCGGACGCTGGTTTGTGTACTCGATGGTAAACGTGACGCGCAACAGACGAGGCGCTAACCCTAATGGCGGTAGAAAGACTGGATTGGATTGCCTTAATATAATGGCTTGGATGGATGGATGAATGGCTGTACCGTACCCTTTGTAACGAGCGGCACCTCGCGTCACCTAGCCTAACAACTTTTTTTTTTTTTTTATAATAATATTTGTAGAAATTTTGTTCTAACACAACCCTTTCCCTTTAAAGTGTCCTCAGTCTTGGCTATTGCATACTCCATGGTTGTGAGACTGCTGTAGCTATTTCCGATGTCCGCGGTCGCCATGGGTAGTTTCGGTTTCGGTCCCGTTTAACCGAAGTAAGCAAAAAGGGGGGTTCCGATTACCCGAAGAATTTATCATTAAATACATAGGAAACCAACCGAAACAACCTTTAGAGTTCCGTTTATCCGAATTTTCCGTTTAAGCGAGTTTCGTTTAATGGGAGTCCACTGTACTCTTGATGCAGATTATCTTTGAATGGCTCATTTGCCGGGACGTCCAGGGGCTAAAGTACCGAGGTCATCCCGCCTGGCACGACCACCAGGTCGCAGCCGCTGATTCGAAGCTCTGCCTTCACCTCCGGGGTGAAGTGGCCGCGGAAAGCGTCTAGCACAAACATAGAGTGCACGCCGTCGGGTCCGCCAAGCGATGCCCTGGGGTGATGTCGCCACACAACATATGATCCGAATCAGCATAAGCTGCCTCGTCGTCCAGCCTTTCTCTTGGAGACGGACAATGGCATCTCCCCCGGAAAAGCCTCTTTTTTGGGCATATTTTTCCGCTTTACAATAACATTTGGCGGGAGCTTTCGGGTGTCTGCCGTTATGCATAACATAAACATCACGCGCTGCTTCTTGTAGCCCGTGGTCCGGATTTTGATCTCTTGCACACCTACTTCATTGACGGCTGACGTCTTTGGCATGTCAATGAAGACTGGCGTCTCATTTGTGTTGCCAATCTGGCCAAGGCCGTAGCAGCGTTCCCTGCGCAGCTTCATCGTGTACTGCTGAAAACTGGTCAGCTTATGTTCAAAGTCACCCGGCAACGTTTAACATATCGTCGTGCGGCGTCTTGACAAAAATTAATTTCTCTTCATCATCCGTTCTACCTAGCCACGACTGACACAGGACACTTTACGAGACACCTGCTTTTGTGTCGCAAACTTCATCGCTTTCACTGGATGGCATCAGCTGACTACGTGGTCCCATGGTCTTCTTACGGGTCGCAGCGTTCTGGAAAAATCTGCTCCAGCCGCTTTCTTCATCGAATCAGCCAGGACCTGTCCTCGCTGAAGCTCTCAGCAGCGCTCTGATTTCCATTCTTCTCCGCAAATGAGATCACTGTCCTCTTGAACTTGAACGTATAGGACGTTCTCTTCGTACAAATGCTGACGCGAGGTTAATCAAGGACTGATCAAAAGCCGCCAAAACGAAAGATGCAGTCGACGCTCTTCTAGAAGAAAAAGAGAAAGAACAAGAAGCACTCGCGAGCATGCGGTTCTTGTGTTGCCGTCGATCCAGTCACGTAGAAGCTTGTTTCCATCAATCAACATCGCCAATAGCTCGGTGATCGCAGTCTATCCTTCCGCTGAGGAACAGCAGTGTGCCGCGCTCAGGTTTTGAATTGCTCTCAAAAAAGGAATGCTTACATTTGCGTGCAAACTTTTATTTTACCGTTCTGACTGAATAATTGGGGAGGGGCTTAGAATCGTATAAATACATAGCCGCCGAGCCAATTATACGAGTCTGCCACACGCACTTTGACCATGTACTGGACACGAGGGCTGCATCATTGCCCCGCTTGAACTCAGCTCTCATCGAAAGCAAGTACTGCGTCAGCATTTCGCAAGAACTCAGATCCAATCACTAGCTTCGTGCCCAAGAAACTGTGACCGCCTATGTTGCACGATGGGGTTTCGGGGCGTCATCTAGTCCGAGTCTGGTATGATTGGTGGAGGTTCTAAAAATGGCATCCTCTCTGTGACATTAGGTGAAATATGTCAGCCAGGCCAAGCTGTTCAAGTTGATCAGTCCCCTTCAGTTGACACCCGAGTTTGGCGGCACCCTGCAGTACGACCACTATGACTGGCTGAGCAGACAACTGGTGAGTAACTATAGTTTGTTCTGCTTCTGCATGTGTTCTGCACATGGGTTACTTAAAGGGAAACTGAAGCGGTTCTGTATTTGAGAAAAAACACTTTAATGGCCTTCATTCTACCTCTAGGATCAAAAATATCGAGATTATTTTTCAATTTGGTGCACGGAGGCTTCAGAAATTAATTTTTAAAGTACCGTCGAAGCCCCTCCTTCCCGGGGCGTGACGTCACACTAGGAGTTTTCGGAATCTCTGCTCTCGCGCGTCTTCAGCGCCTGTCAAAGCTGCGCACGCGCACTTTTGCTATTTTCAATAAGGTCAGAAGGAGACGTCACTACTGATGTCAGTGCGGAAAAATATACCTGGCAAGCTTGCAATTCCACGCGCTGCCCACACGAGCGACACGCGCTTGGCGGCCCAAGGATCCTAGTATGATGTCACGACTGGTCGGAGGTTTTTCGCGTTTTCTCGCTTTTAATTGCATCTTCAGGGAAAGCGAATGTGATATTCAGATTCACGGGATAAAAATACGCCAGAATTCACCTCTAACTCGTTTTTTTCAAGAAGTGTTTCAGCTTCCCTTTAAATGTGTCTGCAGTCACACCTTCCAGACATAGACATTCCTGCTGGACACAAGGCTTCCAACCTAGAATGTCGTTCAGGATCTAGAAAGGGACTTACTTATGCATAAAATTTAAAAGCGACTTACGTCTACCTTTACTGGGTTAGAATTTAATGAAAGCGAGTTCTAGAACCCTTAATTTTTATTTGATTAAATTGTCACAGATGCGCTTAGCTGGCGACAAGCTTGACTGCGCACGTCATTGGGATTTGTTGTGTCGAATTTGCATAGTGTGCTTCAAGAGAGTCAGTTGTTGCAGACAAAAGAATGTTCAGCCATAACAACCGGTACCAAACTTTTTGTTACGCTAAAAAGCTTACCGCCATGTAGCAGTTTTCATACTAAGCCCGAGCTAAAAGACTTGCTCGAAACAGCAACCACCAGACGTATCCTTTCAGATGTCAGCTTGGCTCAAGCGTCCTTCCCCCAGTTTGCACTTGTCAAATCTTCTTCAAATCGACCCTCCTTGCTACTTGTAACATTAACTGACTGCATCGCCGCTCTCCTACATTGATTTCTTGCACCCACACACGCATGTGATTCGGCTGCGCCTGTCGAGGTTCGTGGACTAATTTTCTGGCCTTGTTTTGCAGGCAGTGGAGAAGTACATCAAGGAGGTGAAGCTGCTGTCGAAGCACACGGATGTGGCCCTCGGATTCTGCCGTTTCCAGGCCTCCCCCGGGTCTCCAGATGTGCCCTGCCAGATCGGCCCGGCCATGGGCGAGGTCATCGCTCGCACGGTGCAAAGCGGTACGCCTGCTCTCACTTGTCCCTTTCCTGCTGACTTGCTGATGATTACAGGACGTGCATTCGAGCTAAATGAATCAGCTGCATGCACTTGTGTCATCTTGTATTTTTGCTTGCATTGAAGCGGTGCATTTGGGATAAGCAGTTTTTACGGGCAACCAAGTATATCTCACTCTGCATAATAGGTTCGCCCATCCTTGCCCATCAAAGCATAAAAAAACCAGTACAGTGTAGACCGCATATAACGTATGTCGCGGGAGTCGCGAAAATCCGCACTATAAGCGGTACCGCACTATAACCAATACATCAATTTTTCAGGCCAAAATACATGCCATAAGACAACTTACCTTTGTAAAAGAATTTATTTTATGTTAGATGCAAAATAAAGCTTAGTCTGATGAAACTCTTTATTTCAGTAAACCCCCCGTTAACTCGAACACGGATATCTCGAAAGATCGGTTAAGTTGAAACTTTTGTGCGTTGCGAAATGAATCCCCATTGGCACCATGTATTTTGACATCGCTTATCTCGAAAAGTTTCCGGGACGGGCATCGGATATCTCGAAACTTCGCCTGCAAAAAAAAAAAAAAAAAAAAAAAAAAAAAAAAAAAAAAAAAAAAAAATTTTAAAAGGACACTGAGGCCCGAAGGAGAAAGTTTATCTCAATGGCGGACGAAGCGACCGGGACCTAAAAATAACGCTAACAAAGAGAGAGAGAGAGAGAGAGAGAGGGTCTTCCCAGAAAAATAAACAAAAGAAGGAAGCGCCAGAGAAAAATAAACAAAACAAGGAAGCGCGTGAGAAAAATAAACAAAAGAAAGCGCCGCGAACGCGTTCCGGGCGTACAGAACGCGACGAGCGTTCAAGGGCGTTTGTTTTCTTGCTTTTTGCTTTCCCCCATCTCCCGAGACTTTTCTTTCTCCCTTTTTCTTTACGCTTGTGGCGTTCTATCGGCTCTCCCGATCTCGTGGTCGCCGTAGTCGCCACGCCGCCAAGTCGTTGTCGCGTCGCCTTCGTTCAACCCCGTCCACATGGATGACGGCGGCGCTCTTTGAGGAATATGTGCTTGCGCTGGACCGCTGGACTCTTGTTTCTAATTCATTTTCTCTCGTTTTAGTAAGTGATTTCTTGCTTAAAACGGAGCTGTGATTGGTACAATTTTCGGAAGCGCTAGATTTTCTAAATCCGCGGTCGGTACTTCGGAAATTGCGGTACTCCGCTTATCTCGAAATTTCGCTTATCTCGAAATTTTTCCCGGTTTTTATGACTTCGAGTTAACGGGGGTTTTAGTACAGTTCTGCCTCAAGTGTGTCACACATTTTGAAAGAAATGAGCGGCTTTTGCCTGGCGCAGCCTTTTAACGGGGTCGCGGGTTGCGACGGACGTTGCGAGCGTTCAGTATTGCTGACCCTAATCACTTTTCTCCGGAGATGAAAACGCGTGAAAATTCGCATCCTTCATACGGTACGCGCCAGTAATACCTTGAACTTGAGCACACGCATGAAGTGCGCCAAATAAGAAATCCGGGCGATGTTCGAGGACACAAATGCTTAGAAATCACCACTGTAGTCGAAGTAAAGAAACACAACGACACGGGCGTTTCTGCCGTCTTGAGAGCGCGGCCATGACATCGCCGCACGAGTAGGTGGATCTTCCCTTCTAGTACGTGCTGGGTTATCATAGCGACACACAACGAAAATTCAGTCAAGGATAGCGCTTTTACGCAGAACGATGAGATGAACGCCGTCTACGACGACAATCACAACCGACGCCATGTTTGCGGATAGAAGCAGCCGGCCCGCGACCGGCATGCAACTCGCGCGAACACTTCTCCTCGACCTGCGATTGGTCTGTCTTTGCTGTTGTTTGTTTCTTTGTTAGCAATGCAGCGGAGGGACGCACGCACGTGAACGACAAGTGCGTGCGTCCCTCCGTAGTGCGTGAGTCCCTCCGTTGCTATGGCAACTGAAGCCTCTCTCTTCGCTTCTTCCCGCTTCTTCGAGCAACCTCCTTGCCCCGCCAGGGCCGCTTGCGGCCAACTTGCGGCTCGCGCCGTCAGCGCCGTTATCTAGTGTTGCACAGGGAAGCGTGCTCGCTGCTCCGGTCGTTGGCACGGTCGTCGGGCTGTGCCAGAAACCGCACTATAACCGGTATTTCCCTTCGCGCGCCTGCATTTTAAGCGGTATGTAATTACATGGAGTTCTATGGGAGGCGAACCGGTGGTTTAAAAAAACCGCGTTATACCCGGTCCTTCACTATAAGCGGTTACGTTGTAAGTGGTCTATACTGTAGAAGGTTATTCACATGTCGTCAGCACGACCGGTGGGTGAATCAGCTTATCGTACTCCATTAACAACTTTGACTGAGTGAGAGGATTCCGTTGGAGGCCCGCTCTCAGCATGCTCCTGAATAACTCCTTAAAGGGGCCCTGAAACAACTTTTTGACTGGTATTTAATTTGCACCGAATCTGAGTGCACTGAACGTAGTAACTTAGTGAAATCTTTCTTTTCTCGAATTTCACTTTATTTTAAAAGTAATAGGCAAATTAAAATTACGAAAACAAGCAAAAAATAACCTTCATGATGTCCCTGGTCCTGACTTGGGTGGCCGTGAACTAGAGGAGGGATAGCGAGCTCAGCGAGCACTCATGGCTGCCGCACTTGTGTCGACGGCTCGAGAGGGTGCCACTGAAGCATGTGTTGGCTGGGCTGTATGAAGCGGGCAGCCAGGGCCGCTCGCATTGCATTTTTTGCGCGACTAAATGCTAATTCGGCATGACACTTCATTTGCCACAAACGACAGCAAACATCGGGTAAGGATCAGTTCAGAACGGAAGCCACTTCGCACTGCAAAACCGCCAGACAACCCAACCGCAAGCCAAACCTGCTCGCCGAAGGCCTTGGGAACGCTCTGAGCCGGCCGGATCCTCCAGCCCATTCGACTGCAGAGCCGCGTGTGCATCCGGGACCTTTCTATGCTCGCTGCTTCACAGCAATGTGTAGCGTGCGTCGGCGCCTGATCCCACTACCCCTTTCCAGTATGTGCTGCCTTTTCCACTGCTTGGGGGCGGTATGTCGACGGGTCATTTCTTGTTTCCGTACTTTATAAACTGCACTTGTTTCTTTTCTGGTCTAAAATACTGAAAAAAATGACCGCTTCTCCACGTGGTGAATGATGTTGATTGGGGCGAAGCTGTGGTGGTGCTGATAATACTGATTTTGCTCATAGGTAGTGCTGATGGTGCTGATTTTTTTTTATTGCTCATAGGTAGTGCTGAGTTCCGGGTTGCGTTTTGACTTCATTATACAGCTTTATGGTCGGTGAAAGGCAGAGCCAGTGGTTCTTCTAGCGGATCCATCCTGAAGTTCGCAAAGACTAGGTCTATGCACGCCAGCATCCCCAGCTCTTGAGTTACTACCACATCTCAAAGCCCCCTACTCTTCCTGCAGTCGTGGCCGAGTGGTTAAGGCGATGGACTAGAAATCCATTGGGGTCTCCTCGCACAGGTTCGAATCCTGTCGACTGCGCAAACATTTTTTTATTTTTTAAGAAGACAGATGGGATGGCAATCGATGTGAGCATGGACGCCGGACGGACAAGGCTAGACCCTAAGGAGCTTCGCCCCTAAAAACTACTTTCATAAATAATTGAAACGGTTCGCACCACTTATATTTTGTATTTTGACTAAAAAAAGGTTTGAGTATGCCTAAGCACTTCTTCTGAGTTGTGAATGCGAAAGCATGCACGTCATTCTTTCGTCTGTGGCGTATCTGCAATGACGGCAGAGCGAGCCCTCCCCTCGCCGCTCTGACCTTGAATGCTTCGTTTTACCGGCGCGCTGATGGACACGCAGCGCCATGGGGTGGCAGTTGTTGAAACTGACGCGCAGCTGCCAATGGAAGCCTTGTTCCTTGAAACTACGACGCGCGCCAGCCATTGGGACAAGCCGAAATACATCAGCTTTTCTCCGCTCCTTTGGGATTGGGGAAACTAGATGCCGTTGTCTAGGCTTTTCGCATGGTTTCATAGCTGGGGAGCTGGCTTCACTTGGAGAAAGGATTTAAGGTGCCATTTGGCGCGGCTTCAAAGCTCATGACGTCTGCTTGCTTCATGGGACAGTTAATGCTCTCACATTAAAAAGCTTTTAGCGGCTCTGACTAGTCATAAGGCAAGAGCTGGCGAGCACCTACAACGTCACGATGCCGTCGCATGCCGTGCGTGTTCGGTACCACGGGGCGCCCCCTTAGTTGAAGGAGGCTTCCACGTCGCCTGGTTAAACTATGACGCACCGACATTTAGTTGCACTCTCTGTGCCTGCTTGGTAGCCCAAACTACTGTCGAGACCGGTTATACCGAAGTCAACGGGAATCGAATATCACTTCGCTATATCCACTATTTCGTTACAACCAACTTCGGGTAACGAAGTGCAAAAGGAAATGAGAAATCGTAATCGCTTCGCTGTAGCCGCTATTTCGTTATAACCGGCTTCGTTATAGCCGGTCTTGACAGTAGAAGAGATGTGGAAACCGCGAAAAAGGCAGACGCTTAAATAGGATTGCAGGGCTTTTTTAAGATCAGAGTTTTTTGGTTTTTTTTCTGAAGGGGGGGGGGGTATGTGCACATCCATGCTTTGGGAAATATTTTAACTAGAAGAATACTGAAACAAATGTTTGCGCACAAAAAATTTGAACTTGTTGCTTCTTAACGTCTTCTTGTGTCGAGCACACTTTTGTTGGAAAGGAAGGCATGCTCTCAAAACTCTGCAGTCTTTCCACGGGAACGAAAAGGATCCAGGCGTGCTTGCCGTCTCCACGTCGTCTTGATCTCTTCCATCGTCGTGATTGTGAAGTGGCAGTTCCACTGTCACTAGGCTTGATGTACTCATTGTCCGAGTCATTGTTGTCTCTTCAGCCTAGCAACGCTTTGCATTACCTCCGAGCGTCCATAATCCAGAACAAGGACAAAAAAACAGATATTTCCCACCATAACAATTCAATTATGTCACCACCTAGCAAATGCAAGTTGTTCTAAACATGTTTGATATTGTGTTCAACAGATAACAACACATGTAACCTCCATTAGAAAAGTTTTTGCATTGAAGACTCGCTTTTTTTGTCCAAAGGTCAAAATTGAGACGCATCTATAGGTGCGTTCCCCCAGGGTTCGTACAGCTCCTTTAAATCCCTGAATACCCTTGATTTCGTTAAGCCTTTTAAGGGTCTTTAAATATCCTTGAAAGTTGAAACGAATCTTGTATTCCTTGAAAATCCTCAAACAAATGCGTGAATGCCGTGTCGTCTGGCAACATGGCATGTCGTTTGTTCTAAATGATACAGCCAACCCAAGGCGCCCCGTGCCATCGCCATTTTTGCTTTGCGTTGACTGTGTTGAGGATCAAGTTGGTGAGCGTGAGACACTTTCAATCGAGATTGAAAGCCGAAATGCCGGATGAAAAGTGTATGTTCCAGCCATCTTGACTGGAACGAAAAGACTATCACCAGTGGGTGGGACCAAATACGGATGACTCCTTCCGAGCGAAGTGTGCGATCTGTCGAAACGCTATCAAAACCACAATGGCTTGCTCAATATTCCACTGTCGAAGGAGTTAAAGTCCTCTTTACGGCTAGCAAGGCAGAAGTATGCTGCATACTTTGGAAGAGCACAAGAAGAAAGCAGCCAGTGAGCAGAAAATTTTGAAGAGAAAAGCAGTTGAAGTGGAGCTGGAGGGAATGCATTAGAGGAAGTTGAAACTCCAGAAAACTCTGAAGTGCCTGCTCGAGTCGGCGGAATGCTTCTCAGAAGATGCTGAGGCAAAGAATGACTTGATACTTTTGGCCAAGGCCAATAGTTTTCACCGAGCAGCAAAAGAAAAGGAAACGGCTATAGCTGGCTGTAGAACGAGAAATTCTTGCCAAAAAGGAGCTTATTTCTTAACTCCTGTCAACAAAGAAATTTCTTTGAACATTCCTTGAATTTTGTCTTCTGATACCCTTGAAATCCTTGAAAAGTCCTTGAATTGTGTATCTAAAATTCTGTAGGAATGCCGGTTCCCCAGTCATTCAGAAAGCACTCAGCTGTGGCAGCCGTTGAATACTTCCTATACGCCTCGCAAGTGGGCTCATTTTCGTCTTCTGCGCATGAGAAAGGAGGCGCGAAGGCGGGAGAGGAGGTTGATGACGATTCCGACTAAGCTCCGCCCTCGCACATGTCGGGTGAGGCCGGGGGGTAAACAAACATCGGCGTCGGCCATGGCGGCCGTGTTGTAGCGGCGATCGCGAGTCTTTTATTTATTGTAGCCCGGTTAAAATTTGCCGAGTCCACAAGATCGAGCAGCTTTGTGCCCCTTACGATTCCTCCGTCGTCTGCTAGAGGCATTTCGAAGATTCCAAGATGAAGACGACGAAGAGCACCAACGAGAAGGCGCTTGCCTAGCCTCGCGATTGAAACGCCGGTTGCGCCGGTCACTACGAGACCGCCGCCCGATTGTACCGGTAAGTTGCCTTTTATCTTGTTCTTCCTTTACGAACACAACGGATTTTGCCTTCTAGCAGGTCTTTATAAATCTTATGTGGCGGAGTCGATGGGCGCTATTAATCGAAAAAACGGCCGAGAATGTAGCGTTTTCGCGATCCTCCGAAGCCTATCTTCGCAGGTGATACTTAGGAATATACACACTCGTCATTTCGACTCGAAGCTGCACGGAGGCCGTATAAGCTATGTTCCGTTTCATTTTAAATGCGGTCGAAGTTAAATCTACATGGGCGAATCCCGAGCTTTGATCATAGCTGCCATGCATGTGCGATCTTGCAGTACAAGCGCTGATCAGATTCTCGCGTTTGTAATTTTCGCTTCGTTCGCATTTAGGTGAGACGCAGTATAGTCATACATCGTATTTGGTATAGTAGTTGCAGCCTACGGTTGTAATCATGGCACTGTAGAAAAGCACAGAGCTCAAAACTTGCCGCAAAAACGCGATCGTTTTTTCTTTCAGGAATGAAATATGAATGGCTGTTACGTGTAATACAGTGAACCAACTCGGACAGTACAAATTTGCCGTTTCACATTAGCCAGTATGAGTGAATTGCCGACGAAGTACCGATGCCGCCTTTCTGCGAAATGTGTTGCGCAGTGTATCTTGGAACCACATCGACGCTGTCAGTGTCTGACGTGTTTTTGCGTGTCGCTTGTCTTTTTTTTCGTTCCCATACCAAGATAAAAATTCGGAGATCGCGCACTATCCAAGCCTAGCTAACGAGCGCCCCATGAAATTGACACGGGAGTAAACAATGACTAACATGTACATATTTTTGTTCGCTCAGCAGACTGGGTCAAGCAAAAGCCAGTGTATAAGTGACAAACTTTCTAACATCATTTGTCATTTCTAGGTCCCAGATGGGCTGTTGACATCCAGAAACACACCAACAGATGGTGGTCATACAGCGATTGTGAAGACATTCCCATTTGGATCCACATTCCTAGTCCACTCATTGATCATCTTTCCTTGTTTCATCAATGCCCAAGTATGCCAGGCGCCGATTGACTACTTGCATGTGTTAGTAATGGTGGCATGCGAGGCTTCAGTATTGTCGCTGCAGATAGGGCTCACCCTCACACCAATGCTGTTTGTGGTGTACCTTTCCATGGAATTGTTTGGTTGATTCCAATTTCCTAGAAACGTTAATATTCAGTTTGGTGGGCCTTGAGTAGATTTGTCGAGGACGTCTCATCTCTTTCCTGGGGGTAATACCATGTCAGCTGCTTTGCATGAGCCACTTGGAAACTGTTCGGACCGCTCTAAAGCACTTGTGATTGACCTTACCTGTTGTGTCCATGCTAATGCTGAAATGTAAAGTTCACTGAACCAAGTTTTACTAATGAACAAACACAATCAGTGGAAAGGTTGAATAACTTTATTTGTTTTCTCGAAGTATACAGTGTTTCATACATAATACATGATGCTGGCAAGGCTACTTTCATTAGCACGCAGGCAACTTAGTCTACATTCTGTTTCACGATAGCTTGGTGAACTGTGGAGGCTACGGCTTCTGCGACCCAGTAAGAATGTCGGAGCGAGGCACATGGACGCATGTCACAGGAGCGTTCGTGTCACCGCGCCAAATGCAAGGACCACCCGCCAGAACCGGCTGTCGTCTTACAACCACATGCTCAATTTGCCCATGAATCTGTGGCGGGTGCTAATGCTAGGGCGATGTTTTGAGCGGAAGTGGTCGATTCACGGCTACGATTGTTTGAACTTCGATCACAAGCCATGTTTTTCTCAAAAAAGTGTTGATCTATATTAAGTGTCGCTAATCAGTAACATGTGTCTTCGTCTTTCTGCAGTGTCGTGTAGTGTTGCGGTCCGAAGAATCCGACGGCAACACTACTAAAAGAAGAAGAAAAAACAAAGCCTAGAACTATGTTTTGTCGCAGATGGCGCTCTTGCTGTGGCAATAACGAGGACTCGACCGTGGAGTGTTGTCACGTGCCTGGCTCCGATGCTCTTATTGGGTCACAATGTTTGCCAATTTACCGAGAAACGGAGTATAGTGTCTCACCTGTACATGCTATAAAACAAATGAGATGCCAGGTGTAGCAACTCTCGCAGCTGTAGCCCTTATATTATTCTTTGCTATGCTGTTTGGAAGAATACATAAAAAAATCAGTTTACAAAGCCGAATCTAATTTTTTGCCCTCTTGCATGTTACAAAAATAAAAGCATCACGCCTGAACACCAACATCTGTCTCTAAATTATTCCTTGCTGAAATGAAAAATAAATATACTGTGAATATGAACCAATACAATCTCAAACAGGTTTAAGAATGGATATGATTCAATAAACAATTATTTCAATCTGCAAGCTTGAAATCAAGTATGTGTGTGCATACTTGACCCTGGTCTTTCGACTATTCCCCGTTGACACTTGTTCTCGAAGGATAGGGACTTCGTCGATTTCACGGCAGTTCAAGCATTGGTCAGGCAACATGCTCATGTTTATAGTTTTGGCTGTGCTATAGGAATAACAAAGGTGAGTTGTGTATTGCTGAGTCAAAACAGAACTCTCAGGTCTAAAAGGCTTCTTAAAAATGCACTAAATCTGGTTTTGACTTCATAATTACATGACTCGAACATAAACTACTCACTTCAGCAAGTCTAAGAATTCACAAATAATCTGTGAACATGTATTCTGCTTTTATCTTCATTCACTTATGAAACTGATTGCTTATATAAAATATGCAATCAGTCTTGCACACCTCCCCATTGCGAGAAGGAAAAGGGAGATTCGTTGGCTTTTTTTTCTCGCCGGAAAGCAGAAAAAGAAGAGGAACAGGTTTCAATGTGCACATAACGTTGAAGTGGGACAGTTACGGAAACAAATTCTGCATCTTCAATATTCATGAAGTAGGCAGATTACTTTCAAGTCATAAGAGGATAAAGTCAGAAACAACTTCAGCTCGGCTTCAATCAAATTTTCCCTTTAGATCCAGGGACGTTTCACCTTCATAAGGTCATCAGTACCAATTGGCATCCATTCAGGACTGTAATGGTAGATGTACAAGCTTGACCTCAAGGTTGCAGTGCCCTCCTTTCATCTGCTTGCAGTGCGACCCCTCGTGCACTTGGTCCCAGATGGTGAAGCTGGTGCTGGACAGGATGTCGTCCCCTGTAAAAGAGTCGTCCCAGTAGTCAAACGATCCGGTTACACTCTTGAGCAGCGTATTTGTCCTCCCACGCCATTACCAACTGAAAATCAGTGAAACCCTATTTTTTAAGCAGCAGAATGCATAAATGAACATGTCTATCCCATTCCCTTCGTACCGAATACCTGCCAGCATCCAAGGGATGCAAATCAAAATAAATAACATTGCATTATTTGCTCTTTTGAGACTCCTTGAACTTAAACCAACTTAAACACTACCACAATTTTAAAGCTGGGAACTTCGAGGACACCTCTCCATATACCGAGATTACATGCTTGTCCCACTCCTGGCTTGTCCTCATCCTGGCTTGTCCTCGGCAGGGTTAGCCAGCGTGTCCTCATACTCCTGGGCTTTTAGTCTTGGAAGTTAAAGCTTTGGTTTTTGTCATTGCTTGGTTGCTGGTAGATGCTGGAGGAAGCTTGTACTGTTACTTTGAAACATCAAGTTTACAAATTGAACACTAACCCGTATTGATGGTTGGATACAGAAGCTAGATTTGTCATGTCAAGGAGGTTGTCATAAAACAGTGGGCACGGGACTGAAATTAGCGGCGGAGTGAGCGACCGAGGCGCATTCGGGAGTATCAAAGAAGACGAGGTGTGCGAGTTTTGCGCGAAAGCAGGACGATCGGCCAGAGATGCGAGAATGTGGCGTCGAGAGAACTTGAAACGGGCTAACTGCATGACTGTTATCTGAGCTACATTAACCAGAGGAGAAGAGAGAGTAACAAGTGAACAACACTCTATGGCCAAGGAGGTAATTGACCAGGTTATTTCACCCAAGCATCACAGTAGTCATTTCAACGACCAAGAAAAATACATCCAAACATCAGCACAGCAATAACAGCAGCGAGCCAAGGAATCGGGTTGTGTGTATGTTTATACAGTCTCAAACTTGATCTGCCTCAACGGGCGATGAGTCTCCCAGCTGTAGATGACCGCTAGCCTGGGGCCCTTAACGTGCATCACGTAGCAGTGATACACGACCGCACGCCAATACAGTGCTCATCCAGATCGAAACGGGCAAATGTGGGGATTGAACACACGATTCTGGGTTCTGCAGCGCGAGCTTTCACTCCACATTCTCCGAGCTGGTGCGTGCAAGCCCCCTCGGCCACCAATCCCACAGTGCCAGGGAATAACATATAATAAATGACAATGGTACAGTGGTCTGCAACAGGTAGCTTTTCAGTGCCTTGAGAAACCAGGTTGAGATCACGTGACACTTTCCTGCCACATATGGCTGGCAAAATAGAGATGCATAAGTCGTAAAGCAAGTAATAATTTGATTTTGTTTTTACTAAAGACATCAGCATCTGTATTTGGCTTCCACAACTTCTGAAAGCTACCTCTGAGTGCATAGAGTGGTTTCTTTCATAATCTTACCTCCATGGAGAATTTCCCAGCTGGTAACGGGGCCGTGAAACGCAGACCCCCTGAAGTCGCACAGGCGCCGAGGGCATTACACAGGGCCCGCAACATGTCCTCCGAGCAGAGGGCCCTTTCAGAAGCCCGGCAGCCGGTGGATTCTGTTGGAATGATAGGGTAGGGGGAACACAAGCATTTGCAGGTTAACGGACCTAAGAAAACTAGTAGGCAGGTACGAAAACATGCTACTCGCCCCCGCAGCGTTTGCCTCACTGGCACTTTATGGTGAAACAAATCAGCAGCGAGCGACTGATGGAACACGCGTCAGAAGAACAGTTCGTCTCGAGTTTAACACCCTAGGACGGCGCTTTATTGCGCGCGTAAAGCATTGGCGTAGCCAGGTTGGGATTTCGGGTGCGAAGTACTGAACACCCCCTCCCTGGCTACGCCACTGGCAAGAAGTGACATCGGATGTCACTTAGACACGGCGCTATCACTGCTAAAATAGACTACCATCGAACACAGAGTCGTGACTGCGAAGTTAATGAACCACATACAGATATCCTACCACACTATCTGTTTGGACAAGTGGCATACAATCTGTCGCTGGGGGGAAAGACTAAGAACAGACAACTGCGCACTCGGCTCGGTCGTACCACACCGATCGCCTAATCCGCTGCTTTTTCGTAACATTCCGTTTTACTTTGCTATACTCCTTTCACGTGCAACTGTTTGTGAATGATGCGAACTGTACAGAAACGACGTAACTCACCTCAGCGAGCGCCATGGCGCGGTTCTCCGGGTTCCAGCGCTGCGGGAGATCGGCCTTCGAAAGCTCGGCAGCCCGTTCAGCTCGCCGAAGAGGGCTGTAGCTACACTTCGGTGCTTCACGGAAACACCGAGACACTTGCTGGCGAAAAGGGGTCTCCGCCAAAAAGTAGAAAGGCTCACTCGCGTCGCACATCACCGTGCTGACGTTGGGGGGGCTCACATCAACATCTCACCGCCGAAGACCGGGACGCATATTGGTGCTTCGTATGCTCCCAGGGTAAATTCTTTCGCGTCAAACGAAGTAACGTACATTTGGAGGTATTTCCGGTCTCTTTTTTCCGTATGCCGCGTCCTCGTTCAAGCACTAGCAGTGGATTTCCGAGAGCCACAGAAAAGGCCTTCCGCAATGGCTGCGGAGAAAAGACGACACCGCTTTGTTTACCCCCGAGCTCCCGCCCGGAGCCATCCTCCAATCAGAGCGCGGCGAGGTGACGTCACGCCACCGGCCCAACCGGCCTGCGCGAAAGAGCAGACGGCTTTCCCTCCGTATAAGAATGGAAAGGTATTTTGTGTTTTATTTTTATTCATGGTGTAGTGTCACCATTTGGCAGTATTGCTTAATTTTAATTACTATAAAATCCCATAAGAACGCTCATTTAAAATGGAGAAATAAATCTTCTCTTGCAGGCAGAGCAAAGTCATATTCCACAGTGCAATAAACTCGCGGGAATTCACTACAAACTCCCATGTCATGGGAGTTCATAGCAGTTTGTGGTAGCAGTTTGTTATTCTGCCAGGATCTGGTGCCAACAGCTCTCGTGTCCTGCGTGTGGTTTGTTCCAGGTCAGAGGCTTCTTGAAAGCCTGCAGTGCAATGTGGAATTTGGCTTCAAGTCCCACTGTGGTCAGAGGATGGTGAAGGAGAGGGGCAGTGCCTACAGAAAGGCAAGTTCCCCTGCAACAGTGTGGGTGGGCATTTACGGCGCCTGTTGTGGTTCTGAGCGGGCTGTGGTTTCTTCAGGTGAAGGCGGCGTTGGACTGCGTGGTCCAGCTCCAGCAGTCTTTCCAGGAGGACTGGGAGCGGGAATTGGAAATCCTCAGGGGCACTCAGCAGCTGGAAACTTTCTACAAGGAGGTGGAAACAGTTGAGTATTAATTTCCGTGTGTTCAATCTTTAATACTCATTATATTCCATTAATCTGTGAGAGAAAGGTTTGTGGTGGCATTTATCTGCTGATTCGGTCTTGACCAGTGGGAATATCGTTGATTTGATCTTTGCTGTCAGTTTTATTTTACGGCTTTGGTTTTACCTTCATATCGCGCTGTCTGTTCCTGTACCTTGAATGAAAGCAGCGACAGGGGCCCAGCAATTTAAAACCAAACTGCTAATGAAAACATCTGGAAACAGCGAGGAGCTGTATTATTTGACAATAAGTTTGCAGCATGATCTTTGGTAGAGTAGTTTCTTACTTTGCCAAGCTGGTAACTGCAAATAACGGAAGAGAAAGATAGAAAAATAGCATCTGACTGGTAAGGAGAGCCCCTGAGTGAGTGGATATTGGCTTCTTTTGCATTTTCTGGCTCGTTTAAACTTGCTTTCTTATACGCTCTTCATTCTTATCAACCATACTTCGTGCTGCTTGCACAGATGATCCACTGGACCAGCGTCGAGAGGGACAGGCTCTTGCAGTCTGGCACCAAATCTGACTTGGATAAAGCAAATGCAATGGCCATGGTACGTTTTCTATGTTTGTTTCTTTAGGGCGTTAGCATGCGCATAACAGTGAGCAGCGTCACACATGTCAACCACATTGTCTTTAGCATCACATGCTTTTTGACAGTCTCAAGCTTGCTCGCCTTTCTGGCATCAACTTCTCGCGGTTTCTGACTTTTCCTTGGGCATCCCGACACACGTGTTACGTAGTACAAGAATAGTACAGTGCAAAACCACTGCTGGGACTGCTTGACATAGTTCGTACTCGGACGGATGCCGGATGGAAAATAAAGTGAGCGAGGAATGGTTGAATGTAGATGGCAGAAAAAAAGTTCAAAACAGCACAGCCTGGAGCATCCCGTGCAGTACCATGCACCTGTGCTGGCTGCATTGCCTATTAAGGCGACTTACATGCCTCATCATTCAGTCGACCTTCAAAGTCCTTGAGTAAAGACACGTTGACGGCACGAAAAGTATGAAAACACGTCGGCGACACGAAAGGTACGAAAACACATCGGCGACACAAAAGGTACCAAAACCCATGGTTTGCCACTGCACCACGAGATGGCGTTACTTGTGCCAGAATCTCTCTTTCAAGCAGCGGTGAAGAGCGGGCGTGCGACATGTCGTGAGACTATTGGCGCTAAAAGGGCGTCGTCGGAGAGCGCGCTTTCTTTGGAGGTTCACTATCACCGGGATCAGTGCTTGGACTTTCACCTTTAAGTCGTCTTAAAGGGGCCCTGCAAGGTCTTCTTTACTGGTTTTTAGTTTGCACCGAACCTGAGTGCACTGAACGTAGTAACCTAATGGAACTTTTCCTTTTTCGAATCAAACTACAAAAACAATCCAAAAATAACCTCCTTCACGACGTCCTTGGTTGCTTGAGTGGTTGTGAACTAGAGGAGGGGTAGTGAGCTCTGCGAGCGCTCACAACTGCCGTATTCTGTGTCCACGGCTCGAGAGGGTGCCACTAAGGCATGTTCTGGCTAGGCTGTATGAAGCGGGCAGCCAGGGCGGCTCGCATTCCATTTGCTGCGCAATTAAACACTAATTCGGCATGACACTTCATTGGTCCCAAACAACAGCAAACACGGGGTAAAGATCAGTTCAGAATGGGAGCCACTTCGCGCTGCCATATCGCTAAAAGGCCAAACTGCAAGCCAAAGCTGCTTGCCGAAAGCCTTGGGAACGCTCGGAACCGGTCGGATCCTCCAGTCCATACGACCGTAGTGCCGCCGTGTACATCCGGAACCTTTCCGGCGTAGGCATCTGATACCACTACTAAAATATTAAGGTGGGCTAGTTGGATATGCATATTTCGAAATAAATAGCGCGAAGGCTTGACCTTCGCGCTATTTATTTCGAAATGATACCACTACACCTTTCTAGTATGCGCCGCCTTTTCCACTGCTTGGTGGCGGGTACGTCGACCGGTCATTTCTTTTTTCCGTACTTTCGAAACTGCATTTGTTTCTTTTCTGATCTAAGATGTGAACAAAAACTACTTTTATAAATAATAGAAACGGTTCACACCACTAATATTTTGTATTTCGACTAAAAAGAAGCTTTTAGTGGCTCTGACCAGCAGTAAGCCCAGGATTAAAGACGTCGCATATCGCGCGCTTTTGGCACCGCGGGTCGCCCGCATAGGTGGAGGAGGTTTCCGCGTCGTCCGGTTAAAATATGACGCACTGATATTTGGTTGCTCTCACCGTGCCCTCTGGCTTGCCCGAACCCCGAGGGACGTGGAAACCACAAAAAAGGTGGACGCTTCAATATGATTGCAGGGCCCCTTTAAGGATACCATAAAAGACCCTGTGATTTTTGCTTGATGGCTTGGTTGAGAGAAAGCGACCACTGGCAGTTTGTTTTGCAAGGCATAGAGACTTCCAGTTAGAATTGTTGGTGCGAAACTGATGGGCAAGTGAAGTGAAGGGGTTTTGATGGAGGGATGATGTGTTGCGTGATCAGACTGGGGCAGCTGATTTGGATTAACCTAAACATATGAATTGGCAAGTTTTCACTGTGTACTAAATTTAGTAAGATCAGGCAGGCTGGATCAAAACCTATACAAGTTTCTCAATGGAGGTGCTCACTCTACCTTGATTCAGTATTCTGAGCTGTAAACTAGTTGCATCTTTTGAATTCAAAAGCTATGCTCACTGTTCGAGTCGCATCACTCAAGGTCAAAGTATGCTAACTACGAAGTGCATGCTCAGCACAAATACATTCCCCATGGCATTTTGTTTATAAAGTTTTCAGCTGATTGAAGAACGGGTAGAAATAAACGAGTGAGGAGCTTTAAGTTAAAGGGACACTGACACCCCCCAAAATTTTTTTTTAATTTTTTGCCAGGCGCTTTATTATGGTGTCGGAGGACTACCCGATTAATATTTTGCAACAGAGTAGCGTATTTTTTTAATAAAGCCAAAAGACGCAACTGCTCGAAACCGAAACCCGACGGAGGTCGGAGAAGTGGAGAGAAGAGAGTGAGTGGCGGAAGTCACATGGCTACACGCGACCGTGTGTTTTTTTTTTTTCTCTTTCCCGTAGCAGACGACGTGTGGCGTACTGGAACTGTTCACCGAGCGATTCTTTTGCAGTTATGTATGTTCCGCTCGTTGTTCTGTACTCCAAGATGAGTTGTTTTGTACATTGAGGAGTTGGAGATGAGTAGTGAGTGCCCGTGGTGAATTTTGATCGGCTCCGAAAAGAATACACCCAAGATGTTGCGTGAAGAGCTGGCTCACATACCCTGCGTCCGAAACAGAAGTGGCATTGTGCGACAGAGTTTCCGAAAGATCAAAGGGATCGGGACCAATGGCTGGCTGCAATTCCTGTAGACCATTTACGGGCACCTCGGAAAGCGGACGCTACCTGATTTATATGCTCCTTGCATTTTGTGGAAAGTGATTACATTGAGTTCGCAGGTGTCAAAAAGGAAATCCCGTACCATTTAATTCAGCGACGTGTCGTCCACAACATTTGTTTCTTATTTTTTGTTTCTTCAGTGATAATTGTTTAAAAAGAAAAAGAAATGTAGACATCAAAAAATATCTGAAGAAAAAAAAAAAAAAGGTTTCACGGGGGATTGAACCCGGTCCTACCGCGTGTGAAGCGGACGTCTTTCACACTGAGCTACTGGGGCATGCCGACACTGGGAATCTCTTTACTTAGTAATAATTCAGCCGATAAACTGTAAGTTGGAAAGTTTGCTGCCGATTTCCCTCTAGCAAAAGCACTCCCGGGTCGAAGTAGGGATGCACCGCGCATTGGCGACATTCTCACGTAGTAAAGAAATCGTACGCGTGCATACTCAACTCGAAGTAGACACGTCGTGCTTGACGTTTGCGCGAGCGATGTCTTCAGCCACGAGAAGGGAGCGACGGCTCGGCGACGTCTTCGTGCAAATCGGCTTGGTGATCGGGCGTGTCGTACGGGATGAATACCAGTCCTTTTGATCAGTCCCAAATTTCTCTTTTAAAGGCAGACAAAATTTGCCGGTACCGCGAACGAGAGTTCTGAAATAAAGGTCCCACGCCCGTCGTCCGCTGCCATCGCCGTCCCTGCGAGTCCCACGATACGCGAAACGACCCACGCACAGATTGCTTCCGGTTGTCTGTGGAACTTTTTTTTTCAATCAACGTATTTGCAGCTTTTTAGAAGCCACAAAAAATGGGTTTCCTATTTTTTTCTATTTTTAATATTGAGCGTGTGCCTTCAGTGACCCACGACTTTGATTAAATTTGGTGGTCGCATCGATACCTTAGAAAACGGCCCGTGACCGCGGAAAAGAGAGTGAGCGAGACTCGAACCGGCCAGTTCTTGATCGGCGGTTTTCGGGCGGAAAGAAACCGAATTTCGAGCCGCAAATTCTGTTCTGGGTAGTTGAGCTCTCATATGTCACGTACAACTAAAAACCTCGGCGAGCATAAATACCCTGTCAGTGTCCCTTTAAGTAACTTGCTTTAAAAGAATAGAATACAAAGCCATCCTGTCTGTTTATGCATTTGTTCTTCTGTACTGTCAAGCCGCCCTCCGAAACTAAAAGGGAATCATAAGTACAGTAGGCTCGGCAATGATTCAAAATATGATATTTCATACTTCTGGTTAATTCAAACAAATATAAATATTTTGGTAGTCCTGCTATGTTTTTAATGTATGTATTCATAAGCCGCTCAATTCGAACATCATTTTCGTGCAATTATAGTGTTTGTTTCAGCAGCCCCGCTGAATGCTCCTCTTTCCGAGCACCAGTGCGCTGCATAGAGGCAACACCCGCGGAGCTTGCTTCCACGGTTGTTGCTTCTCCGCAGCGCACCAATGCTCAATGAGAAGCGTTCTCAATGGGGCTCAACCATAGCACACATGAGCTATGAAAACGGGCACCACGCAGAAATTACTACAGCAGCTTGCACGAACGCTGTGACAGGGCAGCGAGGCATAGGTCCACGTCACAGCGTCTGCACAAGTTGCTATGAAAACTGCCACGCGGCGCCCGTTTTCATCGCTCATGTGTCCCCCTGCTTATTAATTCACGTTAGACAACTTGTTTGCCTGGTTAACAAACTTAATTTTGTTTTCAGTTGTCACATGCTGTCTAAGCAGTCCACAATAAACATTTTTGAAGGATAAACAAACTTATGTCATACATTTCACAAATGTTTCTTGTGTGGCATACCTGCTTATGATCAGTAGGCCTATGTAGAGAAAATCATCAAATATTTGCTTTATTTGTGTAGCCATTCATATGGCAATTCATAATTTTATCTTGTGTCATATTTAGGCGAATTTCTGATAATTCAAACAAAATTCGTGGCTTTCTGGAGTTTGAACGAATGAGAGCCTACTGTACTAATGTTCTGCGAAATGAAAGGCAATGCACAACCAACGAATGAAGAGAGAGACAATATCGCCTCCCAAGTACTAGCAGGCCGTGCTGTCGGCATGGTTGGAACCTTTGCTTTTGCCCACCCTCTCAATCTAGGGGCGTACGTACAGGCTTTGCATCTGCTCAGAGGCATGCGCATGAAGTTTGCTGCTGCCCGTTTCTTGCAGGACATCTTTGCAAGGTACTCGCGCCTGCGGCAGTTCTCGGCCAGCCTGTGCAAGGAGCTCCCCCGGGAGGCCGACAGCATTTGCTCCGCCATGAGTCGGCTGGACCTGGCCTGCGAAGACTTTGCGTCCCACTTCAACAGTCCCCGGGAGTGTCTGTCTCCCGTCCTTGACCAGGAACTGCAGCAGGTGATGTCCTTTTTCTGAATCTAAATGCTGGTTCGCCCACTTGTGACTGCTTACGGCTGAGTGTGTTAAAAAATCTTATGATCTTTTACGGCGACGGAACATACTGGCACCATTATCGGGTAGCTGTGTAATAGTTACAATTTCCAAATATTTGCTATTTTTTTCGCACCTTATTCTTTTGTTTATCAACCTGAAAAAACTGTTGACAATCTTATGAACGACCATCTCTCATAGATAGTACATACATTTGTTCTCGAAAGCCTTATGTTTATGAGGAATAATTGATTGAAAACAATGAAACGTTTCGGCTGCTTATGGCTCGATTGTCCTGAGGCTGCAGAGATTGGGGTAGTGGGTTGTAGAGAGGTGGGATAGTTATGATTACGATTTTGTTGCATGAAATGGTGGACCTCATAGTTCCTGATATAATGAATCGGGGAACCTAGGATTTGCTTCCTGTGCTATGCCTGTCCTTTGGAGTGAATCCAGTCCTCCAAATTCTTTGGTCTTGTGGCAAATCTTCGTTCATCCTAGCAGCGCTCATTCTTGGAAAAGACCACCAAATGGTTGCTCAGAGTGTGGCTGCATCTGTGAGCCTGCTTGTGTGCTCGTCGTTCTTGTTCTGTTATCTACACAGGGTGCCTAGCGACCAGGAAAACCGGGAATTGTCAGGGAAATTTTAATTACCGGGTAAAGTTAGGGAATCGTCAGGGATATTGACAAAAAGCGAGCCCAGTCAAAGAACATGAGCCAGAAACGCCTTTGAGTGCCCTTAGCAAAGACTTGAGAACTTGGGTGCAGAAAAATGGGCAATCAATTCTGCTTGGAGTGTAGCGCTGGCTCTGCTTACGGGATGTAGAGTGTGCTACACGACGCAAAGCGAACAGCCGACAAATCCATTCCAAGCCTTCGATTGGATTGGATTGAGGGCGCGACACTAGGCTAGATCCAGTTAGAGCTACTAGATTTAGTAACAAATGGGAAAGCCACATACCCCACCCGAATCCAATCCAAGCCTTAAGCCGAAAGTATCTGAAAGTGTGCATCTGGCGGCCATGCGGCCATGCTGCCATGCTGCCATTCGGTTATTGACGTGTGTGGTCGAGTGTCGCGTTTTCATTGTGTTTCCCTTCCGGAAGTGGCCTCTTCGCTGACGATGTCGCTGGCAAGAAAGTGCCCGTTTAATACGTACTGGACGAACTTGAATATTTCGGAATATGCAAGTTGAATTAAGCCCGTGCAAATTGATCCTCACAGTGCTCAATGCTCAATGCCTTGTGTGGTAACGGTATTATACATCGAACTGCCTCTACAGTGGTCAGGGAATTTCACCTGAAATTGTCGGGGAAAACCACGAAAAGTCAGGAATTTCAAAATAATAATTTGCTAGACACCCTTTGTATACCCCAAGGGATTGTATTTTTCCGTTTCAGATGTCGACTTTACTTTCATTGCCTCTTCGCCCACATTGTCCTTGTACACATGTGCAACCTAGGCTTTAGACTCATAAACAGGTTTCCAGTCTGCTCTGCGAAAGTTTTGGTCAAAGAAAAGCTGAGAAAGTTTTGTAGCCACGAAACTTAACAATTTCTATGTTGGAATTGTGCGAAGTTGCTTCCTGTTTCATCTATGCCTGTTCTTCAAATATTTTTTTTTTCCTTTCTTTTTAAAGGGCCCATGAAACGATTTTTGGGTTGGGATAAATCATTTTAGATTGGGATTTTACTAATAGCACATCGTTCAGTGGACCAAAAGAAAAAAGGTAGAAAGTCAAAAGCCTGACTTTCAGTGCGAAAATTTGAAAACAGAGCGGACTATTTCGTACCTCCTCCCCTTCGCAACCTCTCTGCCTTTTCACTGTGATACATCCGCGGTCCCAAAAGCGCGTTATCGGGTCCAAACTTACGTCACACGCAACCGGACCTCACTTATTCCCTTCACCCCTAAGCTGACATTGTGGTGGAAGCTACGCGCTTGCCGGACCAATCAGCCGCCTCCCTTTCATCACCTGACTTCATTCTCTGCAGCCACATTTGCCACGCTCACGTGGCAAGTGTGGCTGGCCCAACGAGCACGTAGCTTCAACAGCACTGTCAGCTTCGGAATGAACGGGGTGGGGAAAGGAACTTTTGTCTGAATTTTGAGCGACGGGCTAATCTTCTAGGGGGAGAATGGATGTGTCCGGGATTACACAAACGAGAGTGCGAGCAAGAGGGGACTCCCCCTTTTCGTCTTTTTTAACTGTTTGGTGGAATGCGCGATTTATGAGTTGAGGAGGAAAGCGAAACAGAAAAACGTTGGAAAAGCGTTTCATGACCCCTTTAAAGATTTACACATTGTTGAAAGCATATACCGTGTACCTTCGTACCATATTCATGACATGCTGTACAGTCGAGCCAGATTAGTGTGCATACATCATTTTACGTACGTTCTCCCGCGGCGTGTGAGCTCTGAAAGGAGAAGCACGCTTTCAAGCGTATTGCAACGCGCACTCGCAAAGCTCGTGTTACATCGCACGCTCGTAACTTCTATTGTAATGAAGTGAAACGCGACTTAATTGCGGCTCCTTTACGTTTCAAATATGCGTAAACTGATCAGCACCTATTATGAAAGCCTATGTATGCTACATGCTCTTGTCCATGGCGTGCTGTGTGCCAAAAGATGGCAACATTTTGTGGAAATCCCACTTATATCAAAATACGGCTATAGCAAACATATTTTGAAATTGCGTCAGCTTCGTTATAACTAAGTTAAACTCTATTGTAGTATCTAAAAGGTGATCTCTGGCTGCCATTAACACCGCTTTCTATGTGACAGACCAACAACGGGTCCATATCACAAGAGCGAATGACATTTTAGCGAACGGCGACGTTTGAGCGAATGGTCGTTTTAGCGAAAAACGGGGCCGCGCGTTAACCCATCCGTCGCGCTGCGCTTTACGCCGCTTCGCGGCGACAGTCTGCGGCAACTCATTACAAAAATATGAACTCACTTGGCCCACTCGAAAACGCCGCTTCGCGGCGTCCGACTATTCGCTAAAGTGTCATTCGATGAAACGTGGGCGTTCGCTAAAACGTCGTTCGATCAAGTGAGTACCTCCCGACCAACAACATAGAACAGAAACGTCGGTGAGGGGTCTTCATCTTATAAGAATATCACTGTGTGCTAATTAGTTTAAGGTGTAGTTGAACGATTTTAATATTTATAGACTCTTCAGCTTGTATGTTTTATATTGTTTAACTAGGTTTATCTAGGGAAAGAGAGAAACATTATTTATCAATCCAAGTTAAAAGTGCTAATCCCATCTATGTGTCTAAAGCCCTGCATATCCATGGATTATCCTTGGGTATCTGCGGATATTCACAGTAAACGGGCAGATGTGGATAAAAATTAGACGAATTTTGGCGGATTGCAGATTGGATGCGGATATCAGGGGCTGCGGATGCGGATATCCGCGGATCCAGATTTAAATTTTTGTGTGGTGGCATTCAGTTGGTCGACTGAATGGCACTGGGCAGTTCATCGAAAAATCTTAGACGTTTCGTCGTACACAATTCTGCTATTTTCGTTACAAACTTCTTGCGTCTCGCCTTGATTATAGGGGGAGGGGGGCATGCTTTGGTTAAGCGCGCCTGAGTGAATTGTGCTCTAGCTTTCAGCGGCTTGGTGAAGAAATGCGTTGTCGACGAAACGTCACAGAGGCATGTGCCCACAAAACGTACAGCGTCGATGAACTGTGTGTCCATGAAAAGTTGACCACAAAACGTGTTTTCACAAAACACGTTTCGAAGAAATGCTAGGGATCCTCAGAAAGTTCTGATTCTTACTGAAGATCACTTCAGTTAGTGCGTTCCATTTTGTCAAAAATGCCATCTATAGAAAATGTAAAAAATGCAGGTCATCAATCGTCCCGAGAAAGCTAGTACATTGACGGGGAAAGAGCAGAAGACTTTCTCCGGGCAGAGTGTCGTGGACTCCTAGGATGATCGCATAACTAAGATCATTTTTCCTTCGACACGCAGTGTCTCGGGAAGGCTGATCGATTTTAATATAAATACGATGAAACCGATAATGATAAAATGATGTCCCCCTTGAATGGTAACCCAAAGACTTCTTTGTACAACTTAAAAAGTGGTATTTGTATTTTGTTTTCTTTTTTCATTCACGCTTGATGTTATGATATACAATGAATGCCTGGGTTCTGAGTCGGATGTGGTTCTACATTTTGCCTAAGCGGTTCGGATACTGATACGAAGTATGTGGATGCGGATCGGATGCGGATAAACTGTTATCCACGCAGGGCTCTATTTGGTGTCCTTGTTTGTCGTTCTTGCTAGTGATGTTTATTGGTCTCAGTAAACACATATTGCTCAAAGGACAGACGAACACATAAAAAATCCGAATTAAAAGTGCTAATCCCATCTTTGTGTCCTTTTTTGTCGTTCTTGCTAATTATGTTTATTGGTCTTCACCATTTAGGCTTGAATACATGCACTCAGGGCAGTAACATAGTGGTATTGTTTCTGGCAGTTGTTTTATCAGTAGTACCTAACCTAAGTTGTTACCTAAATGTTTCTGGCAGTTGTTTTTATCAGTTGCATGATGTCTGACCTATATTTTTAAACATTTGCTACCTCTCTTTTAGACTGACGCTTTGTCTTTCCCTGAATTCAGTTTTGGGAGTTACTCAGCAGCATCGAGTCAAGACTGAAGAACCCTCCTGACGACGACGTTAAAACAACCAAAGAAGTAGATAAGTTGCTGACAGAGCTTCAGGACACTACCTCCGTCATTGGTGAGGACAGAAAAATAAGTTGGAGTGTTCTCGGGCTTCTTGGAAGTTATGCAACATTTGTCTCTATAGTTTATCGGGTTTCCTTTTGTCCATCTGCCTTGTCCATTAGAGTCCCAGCTCCAGACGCTCAAAGAGACATTCCAAAGCCACGGAGAAAGCTCAGAGGGAGAAATCTTCTGGCTTATCCGGGAACAGATGAGCCACATCAAGGCCCTTCTCTCGAGCAGGAAGAACGGCCTGGTTCAGGCAGGCCAGTTCCTCTGCTGCGAGGAGAATGCACTGCAGGTGAGGATTCCTTGCACTGTGCAGTAGCTCGTAAGCATAACGGGGACTCGTTGCATTTTTTGCAGTAGTACCTCTGCGGGTGAAAATAAATTTCCCTGCATATTGACAAGTCATTTGTAAGACCATGTCATGTTTGCATTGAACTGTGTGTGTCCTTAGTCTCGGGGCCATTATAATTTCGGGAGGTTGGAGTAGGGCAAAGAGATAAAAGAGATTGGTGCAATTAAAAGGGGAAAGCATGAAGCATTCATCCACGTCCAAAGTTTGGCATGCTTTATGGTGTACAGTCGAACCTCGATATAACGAACTTCAATGTAACGAAATCCTCGATTTAACGAAGTATTTTATTTTTCATAATTTTTTGCCCATAGACCCCATGTATTTTTAGTCTCTATATAACGAAGTCCATTTTGCTGCTATTTCAATATAACGAAGCGCCATTGCCACAGAAGGCAATAAATAGACTCTAAAAAACAACTTCGCAAAAAAAATTGTGGTTAAAAAAAAAAATTATGCGCAAACGCGAGCGCTTTGATAGGTTACTTCACGGGGACAGGCCTTCCAACGTTCCTAGGCTGCCCGAGGATGCGGCGCCGGTAGCGCCGGCGAGGCATGCGGCAAAGCGGATTCCGTGGGGCTGGCCAGAAAATGCCGAGCAAAAAGTTTACACGGCATAACAGCATCACCACTGACATTCACTGATCATCATAATCCACTGTACCGCGGGTAGCGCGGGAGCCAACTTCAGCGGGGGAGCGACGTGATGGCGCGATATGGCGCGACGGGCGCGACCGCACGGGCAGTGCCATCTAGGAGAAGACCGAGAAGACCGATTATCGTCTTGCGACCGTGATGTAAAGCAAAGGCGCAAGCACACTGTGGGCGCAAGGGGGCAAGTAAACTGTGCGGGCAAGAGTGCTGTGTAGGTTCGAAACATTGGCACCGCCTAAACTAAACAGCTTTATTTTTCAACCGGGCGGTTCACTCACGTGCTTGCTGCCATAAGGAAACGTAAAGTTCTTTCTTTGGATGAGAAAGCAAACGTTTTGGACGCCATCCTGAAGAAAGTGCCGAGATCACGAGCACTCGGGAAGTGCTCGACGCAATGGACGTACTGAGGAGGTACACGGCGTCGCATAGGCAGCAAGATGCCGTGCAAGCGCTCTGGGCGCTCGAACGCCGTATGACGCTGCTGCTACTGCCGGACAAGGCGCAAGCAAAACTTGAGGATTACTTTGCCCCAAAATAAATGTAATTTTCGGTGAGTTTTCATACCCGTAAAATGTTTCGGAATTTTTTTTTTTTTGCATGCTAAAGCCAAATTTCGATTTAGTGAAATTTCAATGTAACGAAGTAAATTGCGAATTTTACCGACTTCGTTACATCGAGGTTTAACTGTATCTAGGGCAACCAACAGAGCTAGCTCCTGTGCATCAGAAAGCACAATCATTAACCCAGGGATGGAACTGCTGCACCAATTGGGTCACTGTGTGCCTAATGACTTTTGATGCACCACACTAATACAAAAGTATAAATAAGAACAAAATTGCACCAGCATTGACACTGGAACTTTCGACCCAAATGGGACACCAGTGGATTCGAATCCGAACATCTGTATCTGAAGGTTGCTGCCGCCAACATTAGTTGTTGTTGTTGGTGCATGCTCACCGTGTTTTTCTGAAGTCCTGGAGTTACTTCTTCATAAGGTCTAAATAGTGTAGCAAACATGTAACTATTGCAATCCCGCAGCCCGCGTCGGCCCACCCCGCGTTGGCCCACCCCGCAATTCCGTGCAGAAAACTTGGAGACAAAGGCAAGCAAGTAGTGAGGCGTATGACGGATCAAGATAGGAGCTGCCAGATCGTTAACGCTTACATAATTGCGCTCTTGGTGCTTTGAAGACGGTGTGCGCGAAGTCAAGAGCTATCTCAAGCGATTTGCCAGTGATGTCACGAAAGTGCCTTTGACAGCAGACTTGCTGCAAGCTGTGACGAAGTCTCGTGAAGTTTACACAGAAAGGCTAAAGGTTGAAAAGCAAGACGACGAGAAGCGAAAGAGGAAGAACAGTGATGCGAAGGAACCGAGTACGAAGAGAGCTTGTCCCCAGGAAGAAGAGTGACAACTTAAACGGTGCATCATCTGTTTACTGACTATCCCTGTATGTGCAGTCATTGACTGAGTTGGGTCTCGAAAAAAAAAGGCTCGAGGTACACCTAAGCACTTCTTCTGAGTTGTGAATGCGAAAGCATGAATATCGTTCTTGCGCACGTCCTCGTGAAGTGGCCACTCCGTGCTGACATCAGCCGTGCCGCACTCTCCAGAGCGGCAGCATGGTCGATTCCTTTTCTGCGCGCTGATCTGCCCAAGCGCGCCAGACGCTTCGTGTTATGGGCGCGTTGGCGGCGCGGACACGCGGCGCCATGGGGTGGTCGTCGTTAAAACTGACGTGCCGCAGCCAATGGGAGCCTCGTTCCTCGAAACTATGAAGCTCGCCAGCCAATGGGATTGAAGCCGAAATCCATCAAATTTCGGCTTCACTTTACCCTATTCAGAGCGGGGAGATTAGGTGCCCTTTGGCTAGGCTTTTCGCGTGGCTTCAAAGCTGGGAGCCACCAGATTGCCACTTCACTTGGAGAAAGGAGTTTAGATCCCGTTTTGCGTGGCCGCAAAGCCGATGACGTCGGCTCGCTCCACAAAACAGTAAATGCTTCCACATAAAAAAAAAAAGGGAGATGAAGAAGATTGAGTTTGGACAAGTGCTGTTGCGGAGGCTAATGCAAAATTGGTTTAGAATCCTGAAAAAGTGAAGTGTATCCATGAGCGTTTGGTGAAATCCCAATATATTTATATGTCCAAGGACATTAATTATCTTATTCTAGTCACTGAAAAATGAAAAACCATTTTTTTCCCTGTATTTTATTTTTGGTACACCTTACTAGTGAATGCTGAGCAATGAAAGTTGTTTGTACTTGCTTATATTTGCCTCTTTGCAAGTTGGTTTTATCATGTGTCACACTGTCATGGTCAGTTTTGCTAAATATGTGGTGTGGAGTTTGCACGTAATTTTGTGAAAAATATTTGCAACTAAAAAGTTTATTGACATTACCATTAAAAGTTCACAAGGGGTTATCTGCATGTCATATTTTTTTTTGTTTTTTTTAGAACCAGGTGACATTTAGCCTCCATTTTTACATTCTTAGAACTCGTATGCTGCTCCCAACTTGCTTCAAGACCTTGTTTTTGCTGCTCTCAGCTTGTTCCAAACTGAAGTTTTCTCTGCTCCCAAGATTGCTCCAAAGCTGCTTTGCCCAGTTCCATCCCTGTTAACCTTATTTAGGTTGGGGTATGGCTCGAGCCAGCTTTATGATTTAGATTACATAATATGTGAAATTTTGAAGATTAATAGCGGCTTAGGCTAGGCACCTAAACAATAGTAGAGTGTTTCAGGCAATCTTTTGACAATATTATCTTTAACATTGTGCAAATCTAACAGTGCGTAACAACGAAGACCAAAAGAAGGAAAACACAACACAGGACTAGTGCTGTTTTGTGTTCCTTCTCTTAGTCTTCATTGTTACGCACTGTTACACCTACTCCATTCTAAACTTCCACAAACTAGCCCAGCTCTCTACTTTGTTACAATATGATTTGCAAAGCTGATCTGTGTTTGGAATGGCCGAGCCAAATTGTCATCTTATGTTTTATCTTGGCTCATCCTTATTGGCAGCTGGTGTCGTGGCTGGACAAGCTGAACAAGCTCGTGGAAACCAAATTTCTTAGTACCGGCCACAGAGTCACACAGGCAGAGCATGACAGAATGGACGACATGGCACGAGTGAGTTCCTTTTCTTTAAAATCAACTTCAGTGACTAGCCATTTTCTCTAGTACTAGATTTTCAGATGCTCTATCTACCAAATTATCCTTGGAGGTTAAATGCATTAGTCTTCCGGTGTTTGCAGGGACATGTTCTATGTCAAGAACGAACAGTTGATCGTCTCTAGCGTTCTGTGAATATTTGAAATTTCGAAAAGTAGTTTCAAATAATACACTATTCGATACTTGCTTTGAGATTAACTGCACTATTCATATTTTTCAAGTGTTGTTCGCGGCCGAATCGCCTTGTTGAGTGCGCTTCATACTGAGCACTGGTGCACTGCAGAGAAGCAATGCTCGCAAAAGCGCGCTCCGCGGGTGTTGCTTCTCCGCAGCGCACCGGCGCTCGGTATGAAGCGCACTCAACGTGGTAACCTATTCATACTGGAAAAGTATGAATAGCGCGATTGTGTGCTTTCATCATGCGAATACTTTATTTCTTTCTTTTTTTCAAATGTGAGATTGAAGAAAAAATATTTGCATATAGCAAGGGTTGGAAATTCACTCAGTGAAGTATAGTTGGCCATGTTTCTAGGTTTAATTTTATGTCAGATCCATCGTTTGCTTGCCATCCCAAGGCATCAGACTTTTTGAGGTCACAGTCCATAAATACAGATACATTAAATTTTTTTCTGCATTTACACACTTTGTGCAGATGTCATATTAGGTGCCAATAGGACACAGCAAGGTACTGTGGCACGTCTCTAGTAATGGAGCCGTACCCACGGCTGGTCGGGGGAGCGCCACAGTAACCATGCTTTATAAATTGTAAACCTTTTTAGGGCGCTTTCGGGGTGCCTTTCGCCAAGCAAAAGTGCCCTACGAAGCTCACTCAGCACGAAAAGCAATGCGACCGTTCTTAGGCAATATATATTGCGAGTATCCGGCGGCACGTTCAGGTATATCCGCGACTCTGCGTATAAGAATTCGTATGAAGTCCAACTGCTGACCGCCAAAGCCCGCTCGCACGAATCAAGTTTCGTTCACGGAGAGGCTACCAGACACTCAGCTTACAGCGCAGCTTGCACTTCGCTGTGCCATTCTGTTATGGATTAAATGAGTATGAGTATGAGAAATTATGCCTAACCACTTTCACGATTTCACTGTCCGAAAGCGGACCGCAGACAACGGCTTGTTAGTTGACATCAATGCATCCGATAGGCGAAGATTATTCGGAGCTCGGCAATTCCTTGACCCAAGCTTCGTCAAGTGTGCGCGACACTCGGTTTCATGGTTGTTCACTTCCTCAACTACGCACTCACGCTTGGCTTGGCTTGACCTGACCTGACTGCTTGGTGGCAAATGAAAACTGGCTTGGTAGCTTGCTAAATTGGACGGAATTCGAGTCTCGTGGATTCCAAAATTGGAGGTGCGTTGATTACGGGAGGGAAAAAAAAAATGTCCAAATATTGATACCCTTTATGGGAGGTGCGTTTATTATGAGAGTGCGTTTATTGTGCGAGTAAATACGGTATATCATATTTTGCGAAGCAAATGACATAGTATGTTTTACTAGGGCTTTTTAATGCAAAATCACTCATTATCCCGAAATCTTTGGAATTGAGTGGAGTTGCCCTCTAAGCATGGTGCAATGTTAGTGAAAGGCAGGGGGAAACTCTTTGATATTTGAATCGAAAATATTCGGCCAAAACCACTATTTGCACATGACTAATCATCTCAGTGGCGTTCAGATTCCGTTTCGGCTTCCAGAGCATAAGACAGTAAAATGGAAGGTTTGAATTCCAGGTTGTCCCTTCCCCAGTGAGCGTATGGGGCGTCGCTCGTAGCCTCAGTTGCTTTGCGACATAATTCACCAACATTTCTTTTTATTAAACTATGAGTGGATGACATAGGCTACATTCTAAATTTCTGTTTTGTATAGCTCTTTCTGGTGGTTTGGAACTCTTTTAAATCTAAATTGATGAACTGCAGGTCTACAAGTACTTTCAGTCCTTTATACCCTGTAAGATTTATTGATGTTCTTGCATTGATTAAAGACTTTACCGCTTTTCGTTTGTCTGCCCTTTTTATTATAACGCTCTTTTCAGGGATTGCAATGTTCAAGATGGTTGGATGAAAAAAAAAAAAAAATTAAAGTTGAGACATGTTTTTGCAGGGCACGTATCACTACGGTCTTCGGCTTCTTGACGACGCTGTGAAACTGCGCAAGCTAACTGGCTATGGTACGGCACCTAGCAACCGTGTGGCAGACGCTCTCTTTGATGCCTGGGTCGGCTACGTCACAACTTCGAGGTGCCTGAGGCGCTCTGAACAACCTCCCATTGCTAAAGAACCACAGGTGCTGCCTAGGTGACTGGTAAGGGGAATGTTCCAAGTTCCTTTGCAGTTGGGAAAGATAGATACTACTATATTTTCATTGTAAACTTGCCTTTCTCTGATGTGTTCGAAAGTTCAAGGGTAACTTCCATTTGTTAAATAAAATCCAAAATAAACCAAGGCAGGCTAGGGCAGAAAAGTCTGGGTTGGTACTTCGTAGGGCGACCAGACATCCCGTTTTGGCCAGGACAGTCCCATTTTAAAGGTTCATTTCTATGGTCCAGTCATTTTGTCCGAATGTAGCCAAATGTCTCGTTTTCATGGGGACTTTCTTGCGAAATCAGTACTGGGCAAGTGGTAGAAAACAAAAATGATTACTTCTGACAGTGTATTAGAATAAACAGTATAAAAATGTTATCTCCAATAGAGTATGATTTTTAGCTTTTTCTGTGATGCCAATTGCCAATAAGTTTTGTTTTCACTAATGTGCGTATGGGTACTTTTCTAAAGTGTGCGTTTTCATGGCAAACTGAATATACCGTATAATCGCGTGTAAGGGCCACACCCCCATATTTAGGACAAAGTATTGGAAAAAAAAAAATTACAGAAATTATTCGCGTATGTGCCGCACCCCCTTGCTTCTGAGGCGCGCCAACTGTAATGCCACGTTTCTATGAATATATATCGCTAGGTGGCGCTAGCCACCGCCCGAGCACGTGGCGGCACGTGTCCGCATCTCGGATATTTGCTCTCCACTCATCCGTATCACCATATGGCATAATGGCTGTTGAGCTCGGTCGTGGTTGGCCGCAATGTCGGGATGCGTCTCTGTTGCGGCAAGGCATTGAGAAAAGCTAAGGGATATGTCAGCTTCCGTGGCAAGCGCGAGGAACAAGGATTCAGTGGGCGTGGCTCGTGCGTGCACTCAGGTTTCCGAACGTCACTGTACGCTCTGGGGAGGTTCCCTTTTGTTCTTTGATTCGTGTCAAAGCGTCGTGATTTGTCTGCCTTTTGGCGCAATCTCAGAGCTATGGGCAAGTACCACTTCAACAGTCATACGGGATTCAAGTCAAAAGTTGTCGCAAAGGGCTATTTTTTATTTTATCCGTGTTTGAATATACCATATAATATATTGTATAATTGCGTGTGGGCCGCACCTGTGTAAGAGCCGCACGCCCGTATTTAGGACAAAGTATTGGAAAAAAAATTACAGAAATTATTCGCATATGCGAATAATTTCGTATAATATCGAAAATCTTCCCTTAAATTGGGAAAAAATAGTGCGGCCCTTACATGAGTTTATACGGTAGTAGCAAAGCTTTTTTCTTTGTCTCGCTGCACCTCTCCCCCCCCCCCCCCCCCTTCCCCTTAACCCCTTGCCTACTCATTTTTTTTCTTTAAAGATCGTACAGAAAGCTTTATTTAAATCAAGCAATTTGCGTCAAAATAAAGAAAAACGTTTCCTTGACTTTCAGGCGTAGTCTCGTGCTCTATACCAGGACTTCTGGTCGTTTCCTCTTCTTCAGTAGTTCTTCACAGTATGATAGAAATCGAGAGATTAGCAGAAACCTCACATAGGACATCGTTTTGCCGAAAATTGGGGTCTCCACTATGGACCTTTGGACCAGTTCATTTTGACTGTGTGTTCTTTCACTTGCGTCATAATGATGCACAAGGCAAAGTATGCCTTTATCTCATCCGGAGTGGTGTCAAACCATTGCTCTTCATAGCATTTCTTGGGACGATCCTCGTCGCCCATCTCTTGTTCGGCGTAGCGATTTGTCTCAGCAGAGACAGACGCCCAAAAATCATGACTTGCGAACACGCAAAAGGTCGACAAGGCGCTTGTCTTCTCACCAAGACTGCGTTGAACCCTTGCTGACACACCTGGGGTTTCTACAAAGGTGAACTGAGCAGGCTGGTTGTCCCTCTTCTCCCAGTTCCACTGACGTGCAGACGCCGAAGTCGATGAAATGCTTCCAGGATTCGCATCGTTTTCAACACTTTTCTCACTGTCCGTTGAACTCTCATCGGATTCCGAGTAATCAGAAAGGCAGCAGGATTCGTCGTCAGAAATACTGGCGCATTCATCACTTTCAAAAAGAAGTCTTTGTATATCTTCGTCCGCCAAAGCAGACCTCCGCGCCGAAGACATGTTTTTGGCGCGCTTGCTTACAAAAGCGCGCTTATTTTTTGTCAATGGAGCGCCCTCTCTCTGTCAAAAGGCAAAGCAAACAAGAAAAGAACCCAAGATAAACAGGAGCAACAGGGGTAGTGCTGCCATCTGCCGCAGAGCTCACAAAACAAGCTCTGAAACCGAAACACGAGTCACACTCGTGGTCGGGTTTTATGGTCCGTAAATGGCGGCACGAGTGACACTCGTTATTAGTAGGCAAGGGGTTAATGTCCCGTTTTCAACTCTGATGAGAATGGTCACCCTAATACTTCAACATGGACCTTTGGGAAAATCCTGTGAAAGATAGCTGAGATGTTTGACAAGAGAAATGCGGGTTCTTCCTACTCAATGAAGCGGTCATTTAGTAAAAGTGTTTTATGCTTTAATTTTTGAGAAGGTAAATATTTCGTTGTCATTTGAACTGATGTCAATGCTGTGCTTGTTTTCATTGTTTCTGTTTCAGAATTTTCCCGGCGTAAATGAAAATGTGGACGACAACAGCTGGTAGCATTTACTTACGAGATGCGAGTGCCCAAAGAGAACCGCTAGTCAAAAAGAAGAATTGTTATTTTTTTACTGTTTATTTGAGGTTTGTACGTCGTAACACCATGAACTTAGGGAAGCAGCTACTTAAGAAGCAGGAGGAGCCAGTGGAAAGCTGCAAACAACTTGGACTTTTCACGAGGCAGCGTCTTGGAGGCCATGATGCATCCCTGCGGTGGTAAAGAGAAGGCATACATGTGCAGCTCTGGCCAGGAGAATGTGCTTGGAGAAGAGGCACTGAGAAAACTTCAGGACACCGGAATTTGTCACTTTAAAGGGATACTACAACGAAATTTCGGCACTTATTTCTTGGTCTATACGTGTTCAAGAGAGCACATCTTCCGTCGAAAAAGACACGAAAAGGACTTTTAAGACAAATTATACGATTAGCAAAGGGCACCGGGGGGTGTCGCTAAACCATCATTTGTAACGCCCGTCTAGGAACCTCGACAGGTAGCAATGATGCCTGTCTCGCCTAGAACTACACGAGCCTCGAATCTGACGCCATCCCATGAGCTCTCCGGTCACCACGAGAGAAGGGAAGGAGGAACTCCCCTCTCACAGTGCTCTCTTTTGTGTGTCCTAGACTTGCCCAGATGTTGCCATTGTCCTTGTACAAGATTAGAGAAGATTAACCCGTCATTCAAAACTCCTACAAAAAGTCAAAAACTGCTGACGTGCTGGAACGGCTAGGGCATCCTGTCGATGTCAGCCTTGCTGCAGCTTTGCTCGTCCCGGGACAGTTTACGTCGCAATTGTGCCGGATGTCACTTGTTCTCCACTGGCTGCTCTCCGAGCACTTGCCAGAGTGGGTTGTTTGTAACGAAAAATACAGTCATCAGGCTCAAAATACAATTGTGTGATTGTAATTTATGGATATTGTGGATGATATTCAGTCGATTTCTGAACACGACTGGTATATCTTAAATTTCGTTGAAGTATCTCTTTAAAACACAAAAATACTGAATTCACTTAATTTCCAAACATGGGCTCGATTTGCGGAAAATTGCTGTGTCTCCCTCGTTTTTATCTCTCTTGACTTCCGTCATACAAATATGTTGCTGGAAGTGTGTTGGAAAGGGGTAGTATGTATTATCCCATACATAAGTTATAGAGCAGACAAAACTGAAAACACATACTTCTTTAACACGACCGTCTTTAGCAAATAGTGTGTCTATAATGTCTTTTTATCGATCTTTCATTTTATGGCAGTGGTGGTTAGGAATCATAGCCAACTCCAGTCAAGACTTGTGATAGATGAATGTGATGATACTTAAAAAAACGAGATGTGAATATATAACTTGTTAAAGAGTTTGGGCATTGAAATATTTCAGCCATAGTCAATATCGTGGATGTCATATCCATGATTGCAGGTGTTTTGGCAGAAAAGAGTATTATCTTTCCAGGTGTTTCTAGCAATTGACCCCGTAATTGATGACGTCACAACATGGCGCTGTGGTCCCAATGAACTTGCTTGGGCTGTTGCTATGGAGAAATACATGGGAGCTCCACATGAGGTTAGAATTCGTCTGATAAAAAATCATATTTTTTGTAAGCCTTGTGTTTTCTCAATATCTAGTAATCGTGAAGACTTTTTGTATCGTCTCAGTGCCACAAAGCAAGTATAAAAGCCCGTTACAAAGTTTCAGAACCGGTTTTGTCTCACTAGCAGATGACATGATGGCTTTGCAGGTTCAGTGGTTCTTTCTGAGGGATTACGCAACTCGTTAAATTAAGTGTGTGAGGAGCGACAAAACCTCTATCCTCGGGGCTAACTTTCTGTGAGATTTGGGAAGTGAAGAGTGCTTGTAGCTTTGATCGACTGTGGAAGCGTCCGCAAAATTTGATGCAAATGAAAACACGAAGAAGCTGAACCACACTACGGGGATGAGCTGAGCTAGTTGGAAATCATACGTCACAGGTGGAACCAGCTTGTTCAGCTGGTTCCACCCGTGAAGCCGAATCACGTATGACAATGATGTATCAACGTCAAAGTGCAGACCAGCCAACGAGGCCAGCACACATTTCAAGGAGTTCTGATGGCACGGCTGCGTCAGTGCACATTTGTGTGATCAAACAATCTGTTCGTAACAGATATATAAGTCACCTGATGTTTTTATTCAGCTCTTTCGCTATTTATAATCTTAATGAAATCGAAAAAAATCAGCAAGATTTATTTTTCAGTATGATGTTTAGAAGCAGGTATGAAACACACACACACACCATTGTGAGCCTCAAAAAACAAATTTTGGGGTCTCGAATTGATACGTTAGATTCAAAATAGTGTCTCCTGCAAAAAAAAAAAAAGTAGAGGGTTTGACCCTGCTTTGATATCACGGGGTGGCACTCAGTTGGTTGAACAACATTTTAGCAAATGCCGACTTTTTATTGAAAGACGCGTTTGCAAATAGTCGGGCGCTGCGAAGCGGCGTTTACAGATGGGCCAAGTGGGTTAAGATTTTTGTGCATGTGATATAGACACAATATCATGCACTGAACAGGTTCTTCTCGCTCTATTTTTAGTAAATCTCCATATGCGGGATGATTTTTTTCAGACAGTATACCGTAGCGTACGCAAATACAATTAGTTTTCATAAACATGATGAGTTTTCTTAGACCTGCAATGTTCCCAATAGATGCAAGATCAAAATGATAGCATTATGCAAACAATTCAAGCTGCTGCAGACGGCATTCCCCATTCATTCCATGTGCGTTTATCGTCTGCAGCAGGCATCTCGAGGATCGGAAGTTGTCGGCGAAAATATTTTGGAAACAGCCGATACTCGGTAAACTTCTGTCGTGGTAATTGTGAAATCTAGGCTTCCTATATCTCTTCTTCTTAGACGCTTAAATTCCACATCCAAGGCGGACGCGTTCCAGGCACCACCGAGAACGGTCGACTTCTCCGGGCTCCGCGAACCCCGGAGGAGAACGTGATCCTGGCGTAAACACCGCCCCGATCCGTCGGCCCGCCGCCGCCCGTCCGCGGAGAGATCGGCGTCTCGTTCAACGAGCGGCGAATATCTGCCAGCCCTTTGCCCCAACATGGAGGTCGTCGTCGAGGGAGAAGTCATCGCCCCGGAGGACCTCAATGCGGACTGGATCCCAGTCCATACGGCCAGAAAGAAGGCTCGACAGCCGAAAGTACCCTCACCGAAGCCATCGAACCCAGCCGAGCGTCTGGCTTCCCGCAGCTCGCCAAGGCCTGGCTCCAAGCCGCGCCCGCCGCAGCTCCCAAGACTACCTGACGACGACTACAAGATCGTCATTCGTCCACGTGGTGGCCTCAACCTAAGCTCCATGAGCACAGGCAAGCTGCAAGACCTTATCTTCAACGCTGCCCAGACCAACTACGACGCCGCACGCGCTGACCAAATCCGAATCAACGCTACTCAAAACTCTATACTAATCAGCACCCCCTCCGAAGAGCGGGCGCGCACGTACTTCAACCTTCACACCTTACGCATCGGAGAGGAGAACTATCCCCTGGCCACATACGTAGCAGATCCTGCCAACACCTCACGCGGAATCATCTTTGATGTTCCAGAATACGATACACCGGACAACATCAGCCGATACCTAATCGACTACAATCACGACCCGGCTATTCTCCTTGCCCGCCGGATGGGAAAAACTAACTCCGTGCTAATAGTCTTCGACAGCCCGGAGGTGCCCCACTGGGTCAGCTACCACGGGGCCCCCTACCGCTGCGTACTATTCAAACACAAGACGGAGGCCTGCAATATCTGCTGGAAGATCGGGCATAGGGCAGATGTGTGCCCCTCACCGAGAGCCAATAAGTGCCCACGCTGCGGAATCGACAATCCGCCCACTGACCACGACTGTGAAGTGAAATGCGCCGTATGCCGAGGACCCCACCCCACGGGTTCCCCGAGGTGCAAGAAACGCTTTCAAGAACACCCTGCCATTCGCCGCCGTCAGGCACAACGCCCGGTCGGCGATTTCGGCAAAAGTTCAACCCCACCGCCCCCCCGTGGCAGGTCCAGGGAACGCAAATCAGTACCCTCCGAGCCCGGATTTCGATCCCGGTCCCGTACTCACTCCAGACCCCGACCACGATCCAGATCCAGGTCCAAACCGCGCCAGGTCCCGCAAGACGAGCCGCCCCGACAACCAGCGGCCACCAAACAGGTGAGCTGGGCTAATGTGGCCTCCGGTTCCACGGGTGGTGATGCCAGAGACAACGAGCTCGCGGCTCTACGGCGAGAGGTCCAAACCCTCACGAAATTAATCACTGCCGTTCAGAAGGAAAATACTGAATTACGAACCCTAATTAAACAGAAAGAGGTTACCCCTCCAGCACCCACTCCTGTCCCTCTCCCACAACCCGTTGCAGTCGCCATACCCTCGCCTGATAGCGCCGCCCAGCCTACCAAGCGTAGAGCAATCGATACTAATGACGTCCAAATCGTAGACGAATTACGCCGACTCTCAGAGTCAATGACCGAAATGTCTCGCACTTTCAGTGCCAGACTGCAAACCTTAGAGCAAAACGTTCACAGCCGTTTTACGGCAATCGAAGGCATTGTTTCAAAGCGCTCCTCCGAATTGGCCCAACTCACCGGTCAAATGGACCAACTCACCAACCTCTCATCCCAGGCAGGGTCCTCCAATCCTCTACCACCCCCACTATCCACACCCTACCTCCAACAGTGCATCCCTGAGTATGGCTTTACCTCTCCCCCACCCGCCACGCCTCAGTAGACACCAAACCACTATCTGGCAATGGAACTGCCGCAGCTTCCGACGGAAACGTGGCAATCTCCAACATTACATACAATCCCTCGAAACACCCCCCGATATCATAGCGATTCAGGAAACCCGCGGCCTGGTCAAACTTGCCGGCTATAGAACTTTCCAAAATCCTGATCATAAGGAACCCAATACCGCCATCCTCACACGTAGACACCTAACCGCTTCATACAAAAGCCTTGGCGGAGTTGACGTCGAGCACGACTTCCTGGAGATCCTTCCGCAGCGGAAAGGCGACCCCCGTCTCTATATCCTAAACGTATACAGCCCCCCGTCGGCTCGCAAACACAGATTTGGCGTTCTCTTTTTGCGTGCCCTAAGGGAGGCGGGTCCTCACGGCCTGGTCATAGTGGGAGACTTCAATGCCTCCCACACGGCATGGGGTTACAGGACATGCACTCCCAAGGGTCGGGATATATGGACCCAAGCGCAACAACACCGTATCACCCTGGTAACGGACCCCCTCCAGCAAACACGAATAGGTACCAGCGTAACGGTTGACACGACACCGGACCTAACGTTCACACACAACACAGCCCTCTTAAACTGGCGAAATCTCGGAGAACCGCTAGGTAGTGACCACTACATACTTGAAACCACGGTAGGGGGGTGCCTTGGAAAATCCCGTCGCAACCGCCTCCGCATTACTAAATGGGACGACTTTAGGGCCAGTAGAGAGGCATCTGCAACCGAAACCATTACCAACCTAGAAGAGTGGGCCTCCACTCTCCTAACAGACATTCAACTGAACACCACGGACATCCCAGACGAAGCCCACTTAGAGGCAATAGACGCCCGCCTCCTTCGTCTCTGGGAGGCGAGGTCCAGCCTACATAAGCGATGGAAAACTCAGCGGCACAACCGCAAGTTACGCCGCAAAATAGCCTACTTAGATAGAGAAATTGAAGAATATTCTCTGAAGTTACTAACCCAACAATGGGGCCAGATATGCGACAAGATGCAAGGGCAATTGGGGCTTAAGCGCACATGGCTTCTGCTTCGTCACCTCCTTGATCCAACCTCAAGCAAGCACGAGCAGCAACATCGACTTAATACTTTCCTGCACCAATGGCCGGGGA